TTAACACTTTTAGTAAAACAACTTCTTCTCTTTTTTTCCAATGTCTAGGAGAGCTTTTCTGAAGATGTGCAACAGTCCTGAGGCATTTCTCTCCCTGCGCTCCCACTTCATCAGCTCCCATGCCTTGCTGTGTGTCAGCCAATGGATTCTCGGAATTGGTGACCGCCATCTCTCCAACTTCATGATCAACATGGAAACGGGAGGCATGATTGGCATCGACTTTGGTCATGCATTCGGCTCAGCCACACAGGTTGGCCATGATTGTTTCATTGAGGGCAGTGAAAACAAGTGAAAACACCGTATTTTAACTAAATGTTGAGATATTTTAGTCCGGACCAAAGTAGTGGTCTGACCGATGGACAGACCAACGTTGGCATCCACAGAGATGTACCGCTAGCATGGGTGAAAATGTAACAAACAGAAGACCATGAGGTTCTTAGGTGTTACTGTGTCCAGCTATATGAATGTGAACGGCACTTGGTTGAAAAAGACACCACCATCTCTTGTGTAAATAATTCCCTCTCCGTTCAATCTTGTATTTCCTCACAGTTCCTCCCTGTGCCTGAGCTCATGCCTTTCCGGCTGACCCAGCAGTTTGTGAATCTAATGCAACCCTTGAGGGAGTCGGGTTTGATCCAGAGCATCATGGTCCACTCCCTCCGAGCTTACAGTGCCGAGCCGGACCTTTTGCTGAACACCATGGATGTGTTCGTCAAGGAGCCCTCGTTGGACTGGAAGGTAACCAATCACTCCTGCTGCAGAGATCCCATTTAACATTAAATTTCTGACTGTCAGTCTTTCAACCACAGATAAAAGAGGTAAGGACATTTGATAATATCTCCAGGGATGTAAGTAGAAATGGACATTTTAAATGTGTTACAGGCAGAATGTAATGTGTGAATCTGATTTGTCTTTAGAGTTTTTGAAATACGTGGCAGTAGCTTTAAGCTAAGACCTTCGCTATACAGTAAACTGTCAATAAACTTTATGACAAACAATGTTTCCCATTGCTCTGAACAGAATTTTGAGCTGAAACAAATGAAGAAAGGAGGCACATGGACGGACAGCGTAAACACCAAAGAAATCAACTGGTATCCCCTACAGAAGGTGAACTTTGCCAGAAGAAAACTCGAAGGAGCAAATCCAGCGATTATCACCAGGTATATCATCAAATCATAACATGGCAGACCAATCAACAGGATATCATTCATGTCAGACCACACTGAGGGTTTTTACAATTGAAGACGAGACTTGCATTGTTGATATCCATTATGGTGGAAATATTGCTCCAATTGTGTAATTTACAAAATCACACAATTGCAAAAATGTCGGCGGCCTTGGGAAAGCCATAATACCAAACTAATAACACTTTTATCAAGTTCTACACAATTGTTGATGTATAAAAGGGTTGGAAAGTTTAAGTAATCTGTCACATAATCCAATCTGATATGACGGCTCTAAAATCAAAACCACCTATGTGACACATTGTTCAATTTTCAGCTTTCAGTTTCAATCCAAAATACTGTAACTGGTCTTCATTGGCATCATTTTGAATTGTACTTGTGTGTGATTAGATGTTGCTTTATTTTGGTCAGTGAGGAGCTGAAGCTGGGCTTTGAGAAGGATGCTGCCTTCCCGGGGATGAAGTCTGTGGCCCTGGGGAGTAAGGATCACAACATTCGTGCTCAGCTTCCAGCTGCAGGCTTGTCAGTGGAGAAGCAGGTGGACTGTCTGCTTGACCAAGCCATGGATCCAAATGTGCTTGGCAGAGTTTATGTGGGCTGGGAAGCATGGTTCTGATTCTTTGGTATGTGAAATATTTCTGAAATAATCATTCACAATAATTGGGAAACAAATCTTATCAAAGGTGAGCAGCCGTGGGTCGGGAAATGTGAAGAAAGGGAAGATACATTTGAGAAGATGTATTTTTTAGTGGTCTTAAGAAGTTCCCTGTAATGTCAAATGTTTCCTCTTTTGTAGCTGTGACGGATCATTTTCATATATCGTGTTATGGCAGAGTTTATAGGGCAGGATCAGCATGTTATCTCATACTTGACTTAAAATCAAGAAATCTTAAATCTGGCTTACCATCATTTATTAATGTCTTGTAACTTCAGTTTGAAATAAAAATGTTGAAGATGCTTGAGAGGCTGATTTACAAATAGCTTGAACACTTTGGTCATCTATTTGCAACTGACAAATATTGCCACCTTGCACAAATCCATTGTTTTATATGGTGTGAATTGAAATATCAGTTGGCTCATAGCCAAATAAAGGAAAGGGGGGGTTGCATTTAAAGATAACTTTTTATAATCAGAATTAAAAATGAAATGATAATTGAAATATGTCATTTGTCCACTATGATGCAGAGATCCTCCACCAATCCCCTACCTTTTCCAGTCTGAAACACTGCCCCTGTGCTTCTGAGCAGAGAACATCGGCTGTGGTCAGCTTGGATTCATGTCCACTGGATTCCATAGTGCCAAATGAATGCAGGAGTTTTGCATATTGAACCCCTGTTGTGAAAATACTGTAATGCATTATACATATGTAGTTTTTGTGTACATGGCCGACTTAAACAAGCCGCCTCATCAACCAATGATTATTTTCATTAACAATTTATTATATTTAGCTGAAGCATAGATCACATTCGGGCTTTGAGCCATTTGAGATTGTTGTGCTTATCATGGCACTATCTTGTAATATTACCCAATTGCATATGAAAAGTGCTGAGTTGTTACTTGACTTAAAAATCACAAATATCACTTTTAAGCCACACTAGCAGCTCAAGGTATGGTAGTGTCAGTCCATCACTTTGGCCAATAGACTAAAATATCTCAACAGCTAATGATTGGATTGCCATGAAAATGTAATTGAAAATGAAAAATTCTCAACTGGTGGGTCGCGGACCCGTTTTCAATGGGTCGCGGACCTTCGCCTGAAAAAAAAAAAAATCCTATGCTTTTATTTTGAAGGCGATTTTTTTTTTTATGCAGCGGCGTTATTCACACTTATTAACAGTATTTGGCGTTAATGCCTTGTAATACTAATATACACATATTTCACAGTATAGAAGAACACCCACAAAGTTTGTTTTCATGTGCTAATTGAGCATGGTGAAACGCAAGTATGACACAGACTACATGAGATATGGATTTTCTTACATTGAGGACAAAAGAGGGCAAAAACCTCTGTTTTGTGGAGCGAGGTTCTGGCACAAGAAAGCATGAAGCCGTTTTACTCGTTTACGTGAAACATGTGTGGGACGGGGACTTACAGGAACAATTTCTCTGCACAAGAGAGCGCCCTATATACTACGACTGCAGAGGACATTTTCAGCTCAGGTTCAAACTGCACCATCTTTTCATTAAATCAATTTGAGAAGTTGAAAATTGGGGTCGCGGCTTGTCATTAAGGGGTGATGGTGCGTCCCGTAGCCAGACCAGTTGAGAACCACTGTGCTAGACTATGGTATGCATGATGTGTGCCCACCTCTGTAAACTGATAGCTTAATTGGGAAAGCTATTGTGTATGGAGATTCATAGAATGCCTGTCACATCCCACCTTGTTGCATGCAGGTGCCCAGACCAACCAGTGGGAGCCACTACTATCTTAGAAACAATAATGGGCCTTTTATCTGTGAGATAAGCATCTCTGGTGTGATTTGATCAAAGCTGAGGCAGATTGGGACGCAATCTGTACGGCGGTATTAACACTGGCATCGGTGTTTGTGCCTTTGAATTCATAGTACTTTCCATTGAGTACATTGCCTTTATACATAAGTTTATTCAAATACAAAAACTAGGCTTTGACATCTTTTTCATGACATCTTAATCTATCAGCCAGTACGTCTCCAAGGTTTTGTGTTATAGATGCTGGTCTAGCTGTCAAGAATTGGTGCAGGACTAAAGTGCTGTCGACAATACTGGCTGTAGAATGTGAAATAATTATTTTTGAGTGCCTCGTTTTCTGTGTTAGTACTTTTAGGATAACTACGCACAAGCTCTGTGTATTTGATCCAGCCTTTCTCTATGTTGTTCACTGTAATTCGGTAGGCACCAGCTGCCCAGGCATCCCACTTCATTTCTGCACTAAAGTCGTCAAGCTTAAAATTAAGAACTTTAAATTCAGAGTTCGCAGCTTCCAGTCCCTCTGTTTCTGGCGCTAGCAGTAGCAGGCCTTTGATCGCTCCAGCAAGGTATGGCCCAGCACCTGGTACGCGGACAATATTTTCAGCAACTGCCCCTGCAATCCCCCTACGATGTTTCTTTGACCAGGAATAAAAGTCTATAAATGTATCCTTGATTCGATGTTCATGCGTTTCTTGCTTCAGTTGTCCCTCCTTAGGAGAAGTCCCCATCGAAGTGCCTGGCGGAGCGCTTAAGACAGCAAGGCAGGAGGACATAAACAGCAGGAGCAGCAGGCCTGGAGTCATGACATGACTGACGACACACAAAATATCACAATCCCTTTACTCACTTTACTCACAGTAGAGCGGTTTACCAAAAACATCAAGATGAAGAAAGGCTGATTTGTTACCACAGTATGTGGTGGATACTTGTGTTATGTGTTGTGTAATCATGTGCTGGATGTTACAACGTTGGTAGAGCTAAACCATAAATGGGATTATGTTCATTTGGTATCTTATTGCACCATAATCCTATATAGATGGAAATGTACGGTAATGGAGGGTGGGAATCTGGGAACAATTGCACTGCTCACTGATAGTTTTGTTCATTCATTGTCTTTCTCCAACCCCCTCAAAAAAGTTGCCCATAGTTACATTAGTCATTTAGCAGACGCTCTTATCCAAAGCGACTTACAATAAGTGTATTCAACATAGGTATTCAAGAGAACTACTAGTCACCAGAAGTCATAAGTGCATCTCCTTTTTTAAACAAGCATCTAAGCATAAACCAGAGCAACAGTGCAGAAACAAACTAATACAAATACAATAAGTGCAACAAACTAATATGAATACAATAAGTGCAACAAACTAATATGAATACAATAAGTGCTAAGTGGAAGGCTAGGCTAGTTGTCGGACCACAGTCATATTGAGACAAAAACTAATTTGCATTCCAAATACGCTGTATTTTATGACTAGTAGCCTCACTTGCAGACATCACACCCTTTACCAACATCTTAACAGTATAAATTAAATATATCAACTGAGACAGCAGACCTGGAAGCAGGCTTGGAGAGCTGATCTGCCCGTGGAATGGATGTTCAGGAGGCTGATGGGTTGGTGCTGCGTCCGGCCCTTGAAATGGTCTGAGAGTAGAGTTTGGTTGGTTAGTCAGCAGCTGAATTGAGTCTTGGAGAATGTTTCATATCTGTAGGCTTTATAAAAAGCTGACTCGGCTCACCTACTTGATTGTCGATTTTTCATCCATATTTGGCCTCACAGAGTTGGAGGGGTGGCGTTACCTTGTAAGGTGGAGACTAAAGACCCGAGAGCATCCTGGTTGGTTGGTTACAATAAGGGGGCAAGATTAAACTGTCCGGGTTAGAATCTAATAAACACCTACTTTATTAGCTACAGGACATCAAATCATGTTGGGGTTAACGATAGAAGACATTCCCTCACTAAATGTGTATGTGTGAGTGCAAGCATGTAAGAGATAGTTGTGAGGAAAATGTGTGTAGGTTCTCCCTTGATAGAGTCCCAAAGTATCTATCAGCAGATACAACTACATAAACTGCATTGAAATTGATGGAACGTATCAGTCGCCATCAGTTATAGTTTTCTGCGTAATAATAATTGTAATGAATGAGCATCACAAATATGTAGCATTTGTTTTTCCACATTTTTTTAAGAGATATAGCCTTGATTATAAAGTATTAAATGTTACTACTTGATGCATGTCCTCATAGATGATATTCAAATATCTAATCACTGTAGGCCAACTGGAACAAATACTGGCTTTTTAGAAATCGTTATTATAAATATATATTGAGCCATGAAGAGCAGAACTGCAGTTCCCTTTGAACTGTGAGATGTTAACCTGCCTGATGTAAGGCAGGAAACAGAGACCACAAGGTCTCACTAAAGCAGAACTGATGAAACACTTACTGGTTCCCAAAATGCTTCAGATTGGATCTGCAATTTGTTACAAAAACCCAGCAAACCTCTACTGAGGACTTTTGCAATTTGCTGACTGATTTTGTAATATTTCTAGGGTAATTTGTAATGCAACTATATTAAATCAATTACTCTATAGAGTACACATATACACCTTATAACTAAACTAGTGGGGCAGCAACTAACTGTACTAACCAAGTAATCTGTCAATTATTAGCTGAAGGAGTTGTCAGTCTTGTTTTGTCCAACTAAGAGTCCAAAACCCAAAGCTACACAATTTATTAAAACATTAAGACATAGAAAAGCAGCACCGTGTAATATTTGAGCTGGACCAATCACGTTTGTTATTTTTGCTTTAAGTCTTCAACATTTCATCATTTATCAAAAATAGTTGCTAATTAACAGTGGTTTGTCCGATAATCAACCATTGCAGCTCTAAAACCTCATAACATCATTAGAATACCCGCCAAAGACGTCTGTACACCAAGTCCCCTAAGACTTTAAAATCATCTTCATCACTTATCTGTACGTCTTCCGACATTGAAACGGCCTTTGTTAGCTGGTTTTGTGTAGTTTCTGATTGTATTTACGCATTACATTATACAGAAAGTATTATGTAGGATAATTACACTATCACCCTTATCAACGAATCATTGCCATCACCTATTGTAGAATGTTGCTGAAGTACAGACCTCTTGTGACATTGTTGTGCAACGAATTAAATGTGAAAACTTGAACTTATTCCGGATTTCACATGAACAGCCCTGAACTGCTACTTGACTAAAAAAAAAAAACACAAACACCAGTTAATCCATTTTTAATACAATCAAAAATAAGGAAACAAAAGTTAATTGAATGACAGCGGTCCATAACTCAAGTTTCCAATAGTGCCATCAAACCCAGTGTCAGTCATTTTCACAGATGCTAATTGTTATTGTGGGTTAACAGGCATCATGAAGATGGAATAGCCACTGCTTGATGAAGGTGAATTCATGGGCCCGGGTCAGTTATTGTAGTGTTCACAGTTTATATCTCAGAGGTATCCATGTAAAGGTACCGACAAAAGAATTCCTTTGGCACTCTTTTCTATTTGTGGTCATTTCAATGTGAATAATACTTCATTGCTTTTCATTATCACTCACTTGCTTAGTAGTTCTTTCCCATGGTCTCTTTGGATCGCCATGTCTACTGCATAGGACATTAATCACCGTATAATAACAATGTTGAGCAACGCATGAATTCCCCATAAAAAATGTGGACACTGGGACAATATGGAGAAAGACCTGAGCACACGGCTTATTAACGCGATTCTTTTTGGTCACTGTGTATGTAGTGTGACTCGTGACCAAATGTTATCTGAATTCATGGATTTATTAACCCAAATAGAAACCAAGGATGTACAGAATGTTAAACAAAAAAATAGACATTTGAACATAAGCTTTGTTTCTTAATAACAATAATTTCAACATTAGTAACAACTTTATTTAAAAAAAAACAAAAAAAAAACATTCAATTTTCATTTGCATAAAAAATATATCACGTAAAATATGTAACAACCCGCTGCAAAAAGTGTGAGGGGAAGAAATCAACAGGTGTTGGCCAACAGATCAGTCCTGGGCTGTAGAAAGGCTGTTGTTGCTGAGGCACCTTCATATATCAGCCACACCAACAGACTGAAAATAACTATTCTGCATATTTTGCATTATGTTAAATACTGCATAAATAAATCAACTCTGATTTAAGGCGACAGAGAAAATGTTTGGTACCAATAGAAACCAATATTTCATTTAGGCAGATCATTTTCAATGTTAGCTTACGTGCCTCTCAGGGCATGTTTAACATAACTACCCCCCCATGTTCATGTTGAGATGTTTGTATTCTCAAGACAAAAAGACTAAATGAAAATGTTGAGCCAAAGTGAAATATTATATATTTTAAGGTCCATGGGTTAAGGTGCAGAAAAGCGAGCATTTAATAGTTTCTAGCATTAGAGCACACGTACAATACATACAATGAGAACAAAGGAGAAGTACCAAAGCGTGTAGTGCATTCACTCTCTTTTATACGTTTATATTTAATGACCTTAACTGCAATTAATAAGGCTGAAATCCACCAAAGTGCATGATGCATAATTTGTATTTTGTGTCAGGATGTCATCATTGGTTATTTCCATGTACGTTTTAGACAAAGGATATCATTTTATATATAATTATATAATTTTGTTAGGACCCAGTCAGTCTTTTTCTGCAATAGATAATCTCTAAAAAGTATTTTTTTTTTTTTTTAGCAGATGTTTAACTTCAAAGCAATTAGCAATATAGTTGAACACAACTTTAAATTTAAAAAGTATTAATAAGACCTTGCATGAGGAGAGTTCATAAATGGGACATGTTGTTGCACACGAGAGATCACAATCATTTGATTTGACTCGTTCAGTAAAGTAGAATATCACAGCGATAATACAGATGCGATTTCTGAGCCCAGTTGGTTTAAATGCAACACTTTATCTCCTAAAACTAGACAGGAAGCCAACACTACCTGAGATCAGATAGCTGCACAGACAGCCACTCAAAGAACAAGTATTTCTTAGTACCTGTCAGCAGAGGGCAGGTCTTGAATTCATTCAACAGGAGTAATTAAATCGACTGTTTCGGATGATGTTTAGAAATGCACTTGTCCCTGACCTCGTAAAAACAGTGCATACTTCCATTTGTCACTGACTGCATAACTATAGAATTGCAAGCTTTTTTTTGGCGGTTACCAAATTCAGCCAAATGTCCAATTGCGTATCACCTACAAAATGTTTTTGAATATATACCATCGTACATCCTCTGCGCTCTTTTAGAAATCCTGGAAACAGCTTGTGATTCACGTTGTGATATTCCACTTTGAGGACAGAATGGTACAACGGCCTCATTAAGCAAATCTCTTGTCACACATCAGTGTCTTCTTTTACATTTGTTAGCTAACATTAGGATTGATGTGATGACATGTCCACTAGTAGGCTGTGGGCCAACGTAGCCGACATGGAAATGTCTCCATGAAAGTGCCGAATGGTTTCATTCAGTTAGTAAATAGCAGTCACAGACTTGAAGTCTTTCCCCGCAATATAGTAACAAGGACATAAATTCATATTCTACAAAAATTAACTCTTTGTGGCTTGGTGCGCATAGCATATATACTGAAGGCAAGAACGTAGTGTCGTATACTGTTAGTTATATCTTGGGCCTCCACCCATTTATGAACTGCATGAGTTTCTTTACCTGCAGTTTGCTTAGCTTGAAGTCCTCGGACAGAATGTCCTCGGTGAGCTGCAGGAGTAAATTCCCATCGATCCTCTCTGACACAAAAAGAGAAACGATGTCCTCTGGCAGGCCAATGAACCTCAGAGATTTGGACACCTCCTCGATAGAAAGGCCAGCCAGACTGGACGGGGGCTGCCACTGTGCAGCGGGGGGGGAGGATGGACAGATGGGAGTTAATGAGTCTTTTGTGGCCTGCTCATGTTGAGCAAGTGAGCAACTGGAGGTTTCCTGCTCACTGTCACAGACGGAATCCGACAGTAAATCTGCGCTCGTCTGTGCGGCATTCGACTTTGGTGTTCTTGGCGGTAAGCTTGGACAGGAGAGGCTCTGCTTGGTGTTAGATTCTTCTATTGGCTTGTCTCTGTACATTTCCGAGTTGAAACTTGAAGATTTGGTGCAGAACTGATTCAGAGAAGCTTTCTGCGACCTGAAGTCCTTCCTGCTGCGTGCGTGCTCTCGGCCGTCAAAGTCAACCAGGCTGGTTGTACAGGTTTTTGGGGTGCTTGGGGATCTCTTTCTGGGGTAACTGTAGTAACTTTGACAGCTGGCTGGTAGAAATTCCTCCATGCTGTGCGATTGTCCTCCACTGAAATTATTGGGCCATGACAACCTGGAGGACATCCCGTCTGAAGGCAGGCTACTGCTGGGCATCGTAGCGTTAGGCTCAGTGCTGTGGGATTTAACCCAGGTACAGGGGTAGCACACTCGGCTTGGCTCATGTGGGTCAGCCGCCTCTTGCTCGGATGCTCCGCTACTGATGGAAAAGTATAAAATTAATTTGTGGTATAAGAGCAACCCTTTAAGTAGACCTCATCATACATTTAAAAACTTGTCATTTTATATCTGATACCGACTGGGGTAAATAAAATGTGGGTTAAGGAGAACTTTTTATGGAACAGCTAAATATACAAAATCATTAAAAAGATCTAGATGGATTTCAGGGGCAAGTTGAAGAAAAGAAATAAAAAATATCACAACATTGTTCTCTACAACTATGAAATGTCCTGGTTTATTCTTTCTATATTTAATGTGGGTGTAATTGGTGTCAGATGTTTCTTACATGTTGTGGAGGCCAGAAGAATAATAGGAGAGGGTAGGACTTGGAGACCGAGTGTCTTGCTGCCGTGGTTTAGTCGGGATGGGCACAGACGCCATCTGTTTCAAACTTCGTGGAGGAATTGGCGGGGCATTCAAAAGACGGCATTCTTCCTTCACCTAGAAAGGAAATGAACTTTGAAACTGAAGGCAAATTCAACACATTCATTTTTTTTTCTGTAGAACTGAAGGTGTCAGACACTGCTTTAAATTATAATCCTTACAATATCATGAAATCAAACCCCATGTTTTACTATTCATGGTCTGCAATTGATCTGCAATTGCCATTCATGTATTTACATTGAGTAATTCTCTCTGTATAGGAGTGTTTATTGGTGGTGGCAGAGTCCGCCATTCCCACTGCTGCATTCAGATTGCCTTCCTAAGCACGAGGCATTTAAAGGGAAACAATCTATCCGTGACATCCAGTGCAATCTTATCTCGTTCTCAACAGCCTCACAGTTCGTCAGTCCCTCTTTAAAACTGTCTCAGTCAGCGCTGCATTAAGTTACAAACTGAACATCCTACTGCTTCACATTAGAAAAGCTTTCAACCGGCAAAACACAGGGTCACTTTTATTGTGAAGAAGCCACAGGAAACGCAATGTATTTGTTACCACAGTCAATGCTACACGGCAACCTGGCATACATGGCAACCTTCTATCAGAAATCATGAAATCATTATTCAATTTTGAATGACTTTTCTGAAAACAATGCGAGTTTGTTGCACTGTAATCTAATACACCAGCTGTCTCGGTTCCATTTCTGACAAAGAAGCCACTGTTAAACTGCACTTGCTGTTACCACAGTAACCCGGGGAATCACAGAATCAACTTGAAGTACGATAGATTATACTCACAGCTTCAGACTTGGGTGGAACTGGTGGTGGAGTAAGAGACGCATCTAAACTGGGTGTTGCACCGACAGCACAAGTCACTGGGTATGACAGCGCTGCTGTTGTACCACAGCCATTGTTGATGCCTCGAGTTCCCTCGCTTACAGAAGGTTTTGGGATCTGACCTCTCAGCTGATCCAACCACAGCTCCTCATAGGGAATGTCCGACTTGTTGAGGGGTGGCTGTTGGCTTGTGCTGTCCATCAGTTCGGGGAAAAGGTGTTCATTTTCTCCCGAGTCTGAAGGGATGCTGTCAGAGGGAAGAAGAGCCCAGTCTCCACATAGTGTCATGCAGCCCTGCAAATTGACCTCACTGTTGCCGTGCAAGTTGTTGCTGTACACACACACAGATAGTCGGTGGAAGGACTGGGTGAGCTCCTCCCGGGCGTAAGTTAAAGAGCTGGGAATCTGCATGTGGTTGTGACAACCGTTGGAGCTGCTGCTGCCTCCGCTGCTTCCACTGCAATTGCCGTTCCCACTGCTTTTCTTCGGGCTCTTCCCATCGTCGTTCCAGTCGGTCCGCACATCCCGGACGGCGCGAGAATAGTCGTCTATGTCGAACTGCTCCTGGCAGAAGGAGAACCAGCGATGCACCATAGGTTCTAGCCACAACTCTCCTTGCAGCAGTTCTTCTGGAATAATACATCTAGGCATGGCCATATGAAAGGGAAAATGGATGGGGATAATTTTGTTGCTTCGCAGGACGCAGCACACGACCACCGTCTTCGTCTGAATGTTGACCAGCTTGTAGCGATGACCCTCCCGGATGTGGTGGAGGTCATGCTGGTTGCGGGGTGGACTGCTGGGTACTGTGACATTGACGGGGAGACGGGTTTTCTCCACGATGTTCCGGATGATGTGCTCGCCGTCCTGCATCTGAAGCTCCAGCGGACTGCAGGTGCTGAACCTGCCTTTGCACTGGAAAGGCAGGCTGATGCTCTCATTGGTGCGATGGTTCATGCAGATCAAGCAGGGCATCTTGCTTCGACCGATCTTGCTGATGGAGTTTAGCTTCCCGATCTTCTTCAAAATTGTGTTGAACCTTGATTTTTCTTTGGAGGTCTTGGAGTATAGGATCTCAGCCTGGCCCATTAATGTCAGTTCATCACCGGTGCATAGTGTTATGTTATAAACTTCAGTATCTTCATTACATTCCCCTGAAGCCATCTGTGAAAAGACAACATAGGGTCTAAGTACTTAAGAATCTAAGGAGAGCATTTTTTAAGTAAAATCCCCGTCAGTAAACATTAGGTTGGCACATTAACAATTGCTTTCTGTATAGATTCTGTCACTGATTTACACAAGGAACTTGTTCTAAAAATAATGATTTTGTTTCCCTTGATATTACTTATTAGTGTGGTTGAAAGACTGTCGTATCAAGAAACATCAAAGTAGAAATTGACCACAACAAAGACTATGTAATAAACCATTATAAATATTAATGGTGTCCTAACTTAAATCTACTTTGTGGAGCTGAATTTACGGGAAAAACAGTATATCTAGTCTTTAATGGAAATCTTAGTTTATCAAATGCGTCTGATGTCAGAGTTTGAACATATAACATGGTATAAATAGTCCAAAAATATACAAATTGGACTTAACACTACAGAATCCAGAAGCAATCATAATAATCCCGATAACACATTTGACGTACCTTAACATTGAAAGTGATTTCTTCCATGACGTATACCCTCTCAGGGAATGCTTTGGCCACCTCCTCCACGCTGTTGAAGTACTGCACAGGCTCCTTGACATCTCTGTCCTGCTCCAGTAGCTTAAACTGACCTGAAGCAGGAAAAGATGTCTCAATGCAACTGACGGGTTCGAGCATAGATTGTGCTTATCGGGGCAAGTATGTTTTGGGGAAACAGCTTCACATTGTTCCTATGATAATACACCAAAACTCCTCTCACAATGTCTCATGTATTTTCTAGGGCTGCAGCACAGAGGTCAAAGATTTGAATCATCATTAGAGGAGCCCCCGATTCAAACACCATGTTGTCAGTGTAAGAAAGCACCTGCCTTTTTTTTTTCCTCGCTTTGATATATACAAAGAAACATCGTCAAAAGACAATGTCAAGAGCATTGAGCGTCCATGCAGCTGGAGCTCACCTTCATAGTGTACTGGGATCTCTATTTTGGGCCCAATGACATAGTGTCCCTCCTCCAGACTGTGAGCAGTAATAGTCGTCCACTGACGGCAGGAATGAATCAAGAGGTAGTCATTGTCTCTGAGGCCTTCAACCAACTGGCCTGGAGGAATGAAAACAAGCAGACCATAGATTTTACCTTTCAAAGAAATATTGTAATACCGCACGGTACAGTAGACAAAATATGAAATTGTACATCATTAAATCTAACATCTGATGTACTCACTGCACAATCAAAATCTCAACTCTTAAAATATAACTGTCATTTAACATGTTCCATTATTACACCTGCAAAATTTAAAATGAACAGTAAAATGTTGTTAAAATATAAAGTATGATAACTCAGACACTGACTGTCTAGGTTTTCTTTGGAGTTGTGATATATCTAGTCACTGTGTTTCAGCACTTATTGTATAAATTGACCTGATTAGTGTGGGTCACAGCAGCAAAATCACTTTTTTAGCATCCATGGTTGACAATTGTTTTAATGATTATGCCAAACAATAAAGTCAGTATCCTGAGAAATGCCTTGATTACTCTTTTCTTTTTTTAAACCGCTTGGGAGCCTCGCAGGCTGCTCCACTCAGGCAAATGCTCTGGATTACTGAGCACACTCAAATCCCTATCCTCCACGGACAACGACAAATGCCTTAATCCATACCTCTCTAAAAAAGCAAGCACTCCCATTTAAAAAACACAACACACCACCACTGTTGTGCATGGGACACTGCGCAGAATGTGACAGAAAGTGGGAAGATAAAGATGAAATAATTGTTAATGGTCTCATAATGGCTTCATTTTCATAGTACATAACACAATAGACATGTTTATGTTATTACACAACTGTTGGGCAAAACTGATGTAGAGGTAAATTCCCTGACCCCACATTACAGCCATCTGTAGTGTTGTTCTACGTTGACCTTCATGTAAGTTTACTGTATCATCTCGTATTGTTTTGCCTAAATGAGTCTTTCATTGTACCCAGGAGACACTGCACATGTGCCTTTACAGTAGAATTATTTGCACATATTTTCAAGCAGTCACCGAGTTGCACAATTAACAGTCTTCTGTTCCCTTAACTCGAAATACTATTAAAACAGTAGTTGGTTTTATTCTAATTTACTGCCTTTACTGACATGGCCAGAGAAAGAAGGCAGTGAGGCAACACTGACTAACTTAGCAAACATAATTATTTGGTGAGATTTCCGCGACAGATACAAGGGTTCAAATACAGTGACGCAACCTCAATCGTTAACAAATGTTAACCTTTTACGTTAACGTGACACTTTTGTTGAGAATTAATACGATACGGTGACAAAATCAGCCTCTAAAAAAGTTGGTTCCATTTAGCTTTAACGCACGCTAGTTTACCTTAGCTGCTAACTAGCAACTTAGCAGCTAGCAAAAGAAAACTTAGTAGTGACAGCAAGTTACTAACCGTTATCCAGCTTGGCAATTTGAGGCAACCTATAAGCACTGACAAGTTGATCTAATGGTATAGACGTCGTGCTCCATGTAACATCTTTTACATTGTTGTACAACATTGTTCCAAGGTCCATTTTGCTAGCTTACATTAGCCAACTGTGGAGCTAGCTAGCAATGTGTAAACACGGTCACAAAGGGCTACACAAAGCTAACCCACTGAAGAGTATATCAACTCGCCATCTACAGCTTAATGTTTGGCACGTTTCTTATAAATCGTCGCATATTTCCCTTTGCATTGGCCTACGTATCATTAAGGTCCGTTGTCTCATTATGTTGCAGAGACATGTGTGTTTAGCTCGCAACGACTGCATCAGGGCAACTGGTCTAAAGTTAACCTGATGAATAACGGAAATACGTTTTTATTCTTTTAAAATAAAAGCATCATTTACATTGGGACACACAAAAGAGGGAACACGGGCAACAACACAAAACACGTCTCATCCTTTCTCAGTGAAATTGTTTAATTGCTTTCACGAGCAATGTATTTTTAAGTTCTTTACCGGAAGTTCGAGTTTTGTACTGCCACAGTTGACACCCACGTTTATAACAACAATAAAAGAAGGCAAAACGAAGACAACCTAATCCAAAAATAAAACTCCACCTAGGGCTCCAGATTTAGGGCTTTTAAATCATAATGAAGGAAAACAGTTCACCAATTTCCAATTGCGTATCTTTGTCTGTGTATTAATAATGACACTCCTAAATATATGTCAAAGTTATGACAAGTTAAATGCCAGACAACAACCATTGGCCCTTCAAACCTGGTAGTGGTGCAGATGCAAATGTACTAACATTTCCTCACACTTCCTGAACTAGCTGGTACAAATCAGAAGAGCTTCCTGAATTTGCTCTACAGCTCAGTGTACTCCAAACCAGCCACTATGTCTTATGTGGAGACTTTGCGCCAGTGGGACAAGGCTGTAACTTGCGTTGACAGACAGGATTTGACAGAGGCGCTCAGGATTTTCCTGGCTATCCAGGAGCCAAACTCCAAAATTTATTTTGACATTGGCTGTCTCCATCTTCTTAACCAAGACCTGGATGCTGCTGAAAAGGTATGTCTGAGGTGTTGTTGGTAAAGTGCGAGCCTTATTTTGCAACATACTCATCAAATAGTTCAATCTAGTTTAGATGTCGCTGATAAAGCTGAGATGAAATGCTTTGATATATTTTCATTCTGAAAGCACGAGTCACTGAGAAAGAAGAAGTAGGGTTTACCATTTCTCTTTTCTTCTTGAGGAAGTTACTGTGTTTTCTTTTGTTTCTCAGGCATTTGATTGCAGCATAGGCAAGGATGAACATTTGGCTGTTGCCTTCTTTCAAAGAGGAACGACGTTTTACAGAAAGAAGAGGCAAGTCACACCAGTCATCTACAATACAATGGCCACGTTCATTATTCATTTATAACATTGTAATTTAAAGAATACTAAACACAGTATGCTTTGAAGATCATGAAATTTGATTCCTAGTCACTACTCTATTTTTTAAAATATCTTTTTGTGGTTTATTACATGCAAAGTTTATTAACTGGATTGTGTTTATATTCAAAGGTATGAGGAGAGTTTAGCTGATTTCCAGCAAGCCTTCAAAGCACTAAGAAGCAACCAACTGATAGATTACAAAGCACTTGGCCTCAGATACAAATTATATGCATGTGAGGTAAGTATTAAAAAGCATCCAATCATTTTGATATGTTCTTGTAAAGCCATTATTATGTACATTTACATATTAGACTATTCTTCTCTATTCGATCTACTGTCAAACAGTTGAGAAACATACAGTGCATTCATTTTCTAATCTGCCCTGATGGCTAATTTGATGTTAAAAAAAACAATGGTTCAAAAATAGTTTGTCTGCTTTTATTTGACACTGTTGTCATTCTTTCAAAGTACAGTTTGACACACTTTCACAATGAGTGGATTTCAAATGTTTCAAATTAAAACAGTGACAAGCATCTAATACAATATCAATGTTTCCTGCCACAGGTTCTCCTCAATATGGCTCTGTCTGAGGCCCAGCTGGGTAACTGGGAAAAAGCCCACGACAACCTTGTGAAGGCTCTCAACTACAAGACAGATGCCAAGCTCAATATCATCGACAGAGCTCTGGACTCCGCCCTGGTCAGTTAACATACAATAACTATTAATTATGAAAAGAAAATAACAGTCCTCACCCATTACAAAATCTTGGGATTTGAGCTACCAGAATATTTTGTTTAGTTAGTCAATATCTCTATATGTGATCATATTCATGACAAAGAATTCAGCTGTCAGAGTGGTTCAGATTAAAACAAACCCAGATTTATCAACTTTCTGGGTGAGATGGCAACTCTTCAGAAAAGCCAGTGAACAATTACTAATAAAGGCCCTATATCATCCAGTGTATTTGCAAATACATGTTCATTAACATCAGTCAATGATGAGACATGGAGAGTGCTATTAGTTTAGATTGGTGTAGCTCAAAGTGATACTCTGTTGAATCAGAATTTTCTGACATGTCAGAAATACTTCACGAATATTATAATCTCCATTGCAATGCGTTTTCACCAACAGAAGCAGAAACTTTTCAAGCCAGTCGAGTTCCCATCAAAAGTGCTATTTAAACCGAATAAGCACTATGTTGCTGAGCTGGAGAAGAAGGACTACCTGGGCAAAGCAAAGGTAACAGTTGGTACTACATTATTCACATTCAATGTGATATCTGCTCCATTAAACTTCACCTGAGTGCAGCTCATCTAATTCACTTAAATGTCAATCACTTAAAACAAAAAATATTTTCCATACATAACCTACATTTTTTCTCTGCTATCTTCAGGTTGTTGCCTCGGTCGTTCCTCAGGATGCCTTCTCTGGATTTGCTCCCTTACAGCCACAGGTGACATTTGGGCTCTTCTTTGGCCATAAAAAGCAAACAAAGACATTCAAATCTTATGCCATAGAAATTGGTTACTATAAGCTTATGTTACAGAGCTTCAAGCTCTACTGATTGGATGCTGTGTTTTTGTTTACATCTGACAGGTTGAAGATGGTCCAACTCGTCCAAAAGAACCTGAGGTGTTGAGGTACAACAGCCCACTTTGAAGCCGTAGAAACCCGATGCTCTCCAAGCACACGTTATATTTAAAATAAGTTCATTCATTTTAATTATTTAAAGATATAATTTGTTTACAGTTGTTCTATTTCAGCCTCATTGCAGGAAAAAGGGATTGCAAATGACCTTATTACTTGGGGAGATTTTTGTGATAGATAGCGGAATCACTATGTAGAACTGTATTGTTGTACCGTCAACACTCAAGACTAGTGTGCCAGCAGAGCTCTTGATGCCATGTGGATGTCTGCTGTCCTCACAGGGCTTTAGAAGGAGAACCCCACACTGTCCTGTTCAAGTTTGTTCCTGAGACCAGTGATGAGTTGGCTGTAGTGCCGGGCAATATTGTGTTTGTACTGCAGAAGGGTGCCGACAACTGGGCATCTGTGATCTTCAACGAAAGAGTAAGGCCACTACAGAATCTGTACATCTGCAACCACTATGCTAGTGTGTCCCTCAATAGCTCTGGTTGGCTTTTTTGTTTTTATGAAATATGCACATAAAACCATTATTCATGTCACTTTCAATTCAGAGTATTCATCATTATCATGTCAATTACAGAGGGGACTTGTTCCTTCCAATTACCTGGAACGGTTGGAGATGTCCTTGGCTTCCAAACAGAATGAGGTGAGACATTTTTAAGAGGATCGTTTCTTGTTTTGTAGATTGCTTATTGATTTTAAAAGCGATGCCGTCTCTAGTAGTCAAACGGTTTGCTCTGAGACTTTAACATGTTTGTTAAATACATCATCAGTAGTCTTGTTTTACTTGCCTATGCATACTCTGCAGTTTACTATAGTGGCAACTGGTGCAAATGTGGTGTTTGTTCCAAGTTTTTCTAGAACGCAATTACATCTTTATTTATTTTCGGCTTTGAATGGTATTATTTGGATGGTATCAATCAGGGACAGGGAACATCTCAGCCTCCAAGTCGAGAACCACCCACCATACCTGAGAGGAAACCAGGTAAACCTATCTGACACATGGATTTAGCAAACTTTAATAACTACAGGCACCATTCTCTGATTGGTGCTGAATATCATTCCCTTTGACCAACTCATTCTCTGTATTTAAGGTCTGACTCGTGGTCAAAGCAGTGAAGACACACAAAAGGTACGCCGAGTCAAATCCTTGATTTGTCCAGACCTCATGAGTAGGATACACCTGTAAACCAAACAATGGGGCAACAAGGGAAGAATTAAAGTGTTTTAGGGGGGGTATTTTCTGTTGATTTAATACCATCAATGTGCCCTTTCATTATTTGCCAGGATGAACAGTCTACCGACAACTTGTGTATTGTCAAAGTCTGTTTCACATTCAACTTTGCTGTCTCAGTACCACCTGGGTCTCCCTACGCAGTACTGATTGAGAAAATCAGCAACAAACTGAATCTCCCATCTACTACAATCACTTTGAGGTAAGGTGCACATTTAAAAAGATCTTCCAGTTTAATTGAAAAATTGTATTACTGATAGAGTACAAAATTACATTCTTTTTTTTTTTTTGCGATTTAGTTTAACCTCCGAGTTAACGGAACAAAGTGTAATCACCCCCAGCACAGATATGGAAAGTGTGTGGCGTCGTGCCAGAGGTCTGCGCATCACCTTGTGGTGTTACGCCAAAGAGGTAAGTAGTGGTCCATTGTTGTGCATCAGGTTGTGGGCTACTATTCCTGTATTCACTAAGTGAAAGTTAGATCATGTATCATGAAGCCAGTGCAAAACAAGATTTTATTTTTCCGCTTCAGTTATTATGAAATTGAACAGCAAATGATTATCTACAGTGGGTACGGAAAGTATTCAGACCCCTTTAAATTTTTCACTCTTTGTTTCATTGCAGCCATTTGCTAAAATCAAAAAAGTTCATTTTATTTCTCATTAATGTACACTCAGCACCCCATCTTGACAGAAAAAAACAGAAATGTAGAAATTTTTGCAAATTTATTAAAAAAGAAAAACTGAAATATCACATGGTCATAAGTATTCAGACCCTTTGCTCAGTATTGAGTAGAAGCACCCTTTTGAGCTAGTACAGCCATGAGTCTTCTTGGGAATGATGCAACAACCTTTTCACACCTGGATTTGGGGATCCTCTGCCATTCTTCCTTGCAGATCCTCTCCAGTTCCGTCAGGTTGGATGGTGAACGTTGGTGGACAGCCATTTTCAGGTCTCTCCAGAGATGCTCAATTGGGTTTAGGTCAGGGCTCTGGCTGGGCCAGTCAAGAATGGTCACAGAGTTGTTCCGAAGCCACTCCTTTGTTATTTTAGCTGTGTGCTTCGGGTCATTGTCTTGTTGGAAGGTGAACCTTCGGCCCAGTCTGAGGTCCAGAGCACTCTGGAAGAGGTTTTCTTCCAGGATATCTCTGTACTTGGCCGCATTCATCTTTCCGTCAATTGCAACCAGTCGTCCTGTCCCTGCAGCTGAAAAACACCCCCATAGCATGATGCTGCCACCACCATGCTTCACTGTTGGGATTGTATTGGGCAGGTGATGAGCAGTGCCTGGTTTTCTCCATACATACCACTTAGAATTAACGCCAAAAAGTTCAATCTTGGTCTCATCAGACCAGAGCATCTTATTTCTCATAGTCTGTGCGGGCTATGCGGGCTTTCATATGTCTTGCACTGAGGAGAGGCTTCCGTCGGGCCACTCTGCCATAAAGCCCAGACTGGTGGAGGGCTGCAGTGATAGTTGACTTTGTGGAACTTTCTCCCATCTCCCTACTGCATCTCTGGAGCTCAGCCACAGTGATCTTTGGGTTCTTCTTTACCTCTCTCACCAAGGCTCTTCTTCCACGATTGCTCAGTTTGGCTGGACGGCCAGGTCTAGGAAGAGTTCTGGTCGTCCCAAACTTCTTCCATTTAAGGATTATGGAGGCCACTGTGCTCTAGGAACCTTGAGTGCTGCAGAAATTCTTTTGTAACCTTGGCCAGATCTGTGCCTTGCCACAATTCTGTCTCTGAGCTCCTTGGGCAGTTCCTTCGACCTCATGATTCTCATTTGCTCTGACATGCACTGTGAGCTGTAAGGTCTTATATAGACAGGTGTGTGCCTTTCCTAATCAAGTCCAATCAGTTTATTTAAACACAGCTGGACTCCAATGAAGGAGTAGAACCATCTCAACGAGGATCAGAAGAAATGGACAGCATGTGAGTTAAATATGAGTGTCACAGCAAAGGGTCTGAATACTTATGACCATGTGATATTTCAGTTTTTCTTTTCTAATAAATTTGCAAAAATTTCTACATTTGTTTTTTTCTGTCAAGATGGGGTGCTGAGAAATAAAATGAACTTTTTTGATTTTAGCAAATCGCTGCAATGAAACAAAGAGTGAAAAATTTAAAGGGGCCTGAATACTTTCCGTACCCACTGTATATGCAATTTGTGTTTTCAGCAAACTGATGGAAATCCACAGAGCGAGGTTTCCTTGGTGGCACTTCATTCCTATGAGTCGCCAAACCCGGAGGATCTCAACTTTCATCAAGGCGATACAATCACATTACTCTCCAGAGGTGAGACTCCTATCTTTTTGGCCATATAGATCCCAAATATTTAAAAAAAATACCGTGATTTGTCTGAGAAATAGGATTTTAATCTATTTCTTTTTTTTTTTAATAGTTAACCAGGACTGGTTGGAAGGGCAATGTAATGGGAACACTGGTATATTTCCTGCATCCTTTGTGGAAGAAGTTCCTGTCAAGGGCCAGTCATTAATATAAATACATGCAAACGGATACTAGAGCTGGTAATACAGTGGCTAAATTAGTGGCTAAAGCTGAAAAGTGGTCAGGAACCCCCGACCAAAACCATTTCATAACCAACTACATTTGAATAATCGGGGTCCACATATTGTTCATTAATGCAACTTTTGAACACTTTCATTAAATTAAATCCCTTTTTCACAATGAATACATTTGGACAAGTGTGAAATGTTGCAATCATAGGTTTCATTCTGTGATTCAGAAAGTAATGAGATGAAAAATAGTGATATCTGATATTGGTTTTATGAAAACTTATTACTTACAGCTTTCAGCTTCCTAATTAAAAAAAACAATCCACATTTAATATCTGCAGGCATGATTAAATAATCTTAGAGTCCTCGTGTGCGTCACGGAGACGTTCCTTCCTCTTCATAGGCAATAGCTATTCCTCTCCTGCCCTCTACTGCCTTCACCACAGGTGTCTCTCCCAACTTCTCCTCTAAGCCACGCCAGCTTCGTTCTGCCAGAAAAGACGCTGAAAAGAGAAAGCAAAATGTGTTTGCTTGATTGAACAATCATTGTATGTGTGCAGAACTCTACAATAAACTCAAAGAGTGTCTTATGTGCAGCAGACTTTGTGACCGCCTCATACCAGCTGAGTTGGTGTTGGCTACAGTCAGCGTCTGGTTCCTGAGGACTACGGAGGAGCCGAATGAAGACACTGCAGGCTCACTGCTCAGCAGATTGTGGCTTCGCAGAGCTCCTGTGATTAAAGACACGTCCGTCTCATCGTCCTCCTCCTGGTGATCGGACAGAGGCACATGGCTCTGTCCACCTGGTGAAAGTTAGAGATAAAAAAAGAATGAATTAGATGGAGCTAAATATACTTCACTGGGCTACTGGTGATAAAATGTCTGGATAATAAAGATATAGAACTGTATTCATATTAGGGAGAGGAGGCCGACTCTTGTACGCAACATCCTCCCCCTAATATCTATAAGTGTTGGTACAAATCCTTTCACCATTAACAACAAACAAGCATAAATATTTTAAGATGGAGTAATCTACTTTAAAACATTTATTAATGGAATAATAATATTAACTGCAGTCACCAATACACATTTTAGATTAATGAATTCTTCCACATCTTTGGAAAACTTAAGCTAGCCATCTCTACTTTAATAAATAAAGCCTACATAAAAAAAACTGAACTTGAATTATAACAGGGAAAAGTTTACCTGACACATACACATATCTAACATTTAATCACAATAATGAGGCTCTTTATACTATTATTGAGATCCACATTATACGGTCCTTTAACATAAAGAAAGTTCAGAGGAGATGATTTAAAACAGATTGTGATCTAACCTGGCAGGAGATGTCGAAAGTCCGTGACGTATTCCTCTGACCACTCCCTCTTCTTGTTGCAGGCCACCTCCATCTCAAACGGCGTTACTACAGGTTTATAGAACTCACTGGAGTCCAGCAGTGAGTTCTCGGGACACGCAATTAAAACAAAAATGTCAATTTCAAGAAAGTTTGCTAGTTTGGGCACGTTCAGTTTCCCCATGGCGAACACATAGCTCTTCTTGCCAGCTCCTTTGATGGTCTCCTTCAACTGCTGGATGATGCTGAGGTAGTCGGCCACCCCGAGTGTGCCAACGAGGATGCCAACCACATGAGCATCTTTGGCCCTTTCTATAGCGTAATATCGCTTCATCAGAGCACGGTTGACACTCACTGACTCAGTCCTGCCCGTCATTTTTACGGGGTCAAAAGAAGTAAATGAGCAGCGATTCCACGTCATCATGAAGTTTCTCAGCGTTGCTCCCTCCTGGCCGACATAGAACATACTGTAATCCGTGATGCCTGAACCACCTTTCAAGGTGAACCGCCTTCCAAACTGATAAACAACCTGGCTGTTGTCTCGCTCTGACAGGCGGGTGTCGTCGTGTTGTCTTTTAATCTGGCAGTGACTGTAACACTGCTCCCCTTCGACAACTAGTTCTGAAACGACAATGTTTGGATACTCTGGCAACAGGAGCGTCATAAGTTCATCTGAAAAACACAAAAAAAACACGTAATCAGTCCCTGAGGGGAAATCATTAACAAACCTTTAGAAAGCTAAGATGTGGATCTGCAAGATTTCAATAGGTTCTACCTTAACTCAAGTTGTGGTTAATATGACTTAACTGGAATTAGTATTTTTGAGGACGCCAATAGTTATATTAACGAAAACTGTCAATTTGTCCGACTATTCATCTTCATCTAAAAGCTGTCCTATTTCCTTAAAGAATTACACATCATGATTTGAAAGATGACTGGTTAGATAAACATGAATAAATATAAATCATCCCTTTCATACATCACATAAGTATTTACTTATAGCATGAACATAGTTGACATCATAGAGGATGACGATGTGACTCTGGGTGTCAGGGTGGAGTTCTCTGAAGGCAGAGGTGCACTTCTCAAGATCCACCGGTCTTCGCTCAAAGACGTACATCAGCGGCAGCCTCTTAGACGGGCTGAGGCAGGAGCTGCCGTAGTGCACGATGCAGTCGGCTCCAACGTGTTCCGCAGCCACCTCGTCCACACAGCAGCTGCTCAAGAGAATCAACCACCTTTATCATAGCATTCAACTCATTTATACTCACAGTGTAGCAGCTAACACAGATATTTTTAAGTTCAACAAGCCACTGTAGTAAGGCCTATTATCATGCATGGTGATGATAAACAGATCAATAAAATAAAATCAATGAAACTGTCAAAAGCGTATTTTCCTTACTTAGTCAATCAGCTGTTCAAAATAGCATGCCTGTGCTGGATAAAAATATTGTAAAGCATAAAGTGTCTTTTCCAGATACACCAGTAAAGGTAAAACTGGCCACTGCTTTTTTTCCCACGTCACTTAGCATGAAGAATCAAAGCACTAACAATGACACAAGCATTGTGCAGGCAATGCATAATTAAACCAAGTAAGAATTTTCTCAGCTAAACCTGGTGAGTTACCTGCCATAGGATGTATCTCCCAAAATGAACGGCTTGGCGTTACTGTTTCTCTCAATCTCCACTGCTACTGCAACTGAATCCACCAGCAGCTCATCAGGGAACTGCAGCGCAACCTGTGCACATAAACCAGTTTAGACAAATAAACCTCTAAAACGTTTATCCGACATTCCTGCAACATTCATGCATCATATCTGTTTAAGTGAAAACCCTTATTATACAGCTTTTTAACAAGAATTGTGTTGTCCTTTCATGCATTTATATACAAATGAGGTTATTTATTTACATGCCTAAATGTAGAAAGTATGTCCTCACTTTTTCAAACTGATGCTCACTGATGAAGTCGCACGTCTCCTTAATCTGATACAACTCTTCAAGTTTCTCCAGAGGCGTATTTGTCTTCACTGTGACGTCTACCACACGCTGGATTACGGTTTCCGAGCTGCTGCTAAACGCGTCAGCCATTGTTGCATAGGAAACACGCAGCAGTGCCTGTAAAAAAACACAATAACCCATAACGCATCATGCATCATATCAGTTGGTGACAAAGCAGCCAAGCTGTTGAAAATATAACTAACATTTCCTAAATCCTTAATGGTTTACTGTGCCAGCGAAAGTACGTCTGAGTGAACTAGAGTCGAGTAAAGTTAACATTATATTTACGGTAACCCACTCAGATTACTGGCAATACTGTTACATTTAGGAATGGCTGAACGAAGCAAAACTGTAGCAAACCACTTAACCACTTAACCACGTTACCTGCCAGCTATGGCGTTACTTTGGTTCCGCCTGCTAGCTTAGCCGCTAGCTGGTCTGTCTTTAAAGTATGAGTCATTACAACAAACTATCATTCACAACTTACATTTACAACGCATTAATGTAAACTTACAATTGAATGTCATGTGGGTATTTGTTGACGGATGAGCGCGTCTTTGACATCTACACACGTGTCAGCAGTGGGGAACACATTTTTCATTACGCAGTTCCTCGAGGACAAGCATTTCCGGTTCACACGTTTTTCAAAATAAGAGCCACGGCACACTGGCAATGACATGCTTTGTCAGCTGTGTATTTTCCTGGCATTATCTACCTCAAGATAACTCATTTCTCCTCTACTCACCCCTGACATCATTAAAAAAAATATTACTATCACTGCTAAAACCTGCTCACCTTTCCAGATTACTGAGTTGCAGTACACACATATCACATGTTATGTTCGGCCACTGCAAGGATTATCAATATAACAATAATCAATTGAAACACAGAGAAGACGGTAAATCAACATGTGTTTACAGGAGACGTATGATGTTGAGCAGTTAGCCAGTTCCCCAACAACAGTAAACAAATATATCCCAAAACAACATTTTCATTTGAAAGAGACACTGGCAAAAAGTTTACATTTATTGACAATTCATTTTATTAAAATAATCAATCATGTTAAAACAAGTCCACAAATCATAAAGATAGATATCTGTGATAATATAGCTTAGTGGTTGACAGTCACAGTGACCCATTCTTCTTCTGATCTTCTTTATACAGATTGATATATACATACAAAATAAAAAATAAAAATTGTGTTTCTTTCATGGACAATAAATTAAAAATAATAATAAAATTGGACTTACTAAAACTTTTAAGTATATTTATCAAGTAAGTTCCGGCAGCCAAAAAAGAACCATGGTATAGTTAAAACATGAATCGGCTCTGAGGGGGTAACTAATCAATAATAAGAGTTACAATTTAATTATTATGAAAACTTTGTCAAGTGATCTGTGGGCAGAGCCTCTGAGAAAAGAATAACATTGCACCAATGACTGCAAACCTTCTGACATAAAAGACATTTGGCAGATTCAGGGCATTTGGAAGATGAAAATCATAATCCTGCTTACATCCAAACACGATAGAAACCCAAGACCACCGTGAGACATGTGAACACTGAACCTAAAAGAGAAAAGAAGCATAGGTCAATCATTCGCCTACTTAAGTCACAGTCATATACTTCATTTTTATTCTGACAAATGGTTTACATTGAAAATTCTGTTTCCTGGAAATTTTAACTTAGACACTCAAAATCTGCACTTTATTGTATTGAATATGTTTTAAATGAATAATGATTAATGTTTAAATTGCAATAGTTGTACCGACATTAACCCATTTAAAAGACTGTTTCTTCCCCACTGCAATAAAGACTCTGAACAGTTTCCATTAAGTATGAATTATTTGACAGCCCAAGCTCTCAGTGCTATGATCTCTGACTCCACATAACAACAATGCACAATGTCCTACCTGCAAGGTATTTTATAGTATCCAGTTTATGAGATTCTAACATGGTTTTCAAACCAGCCACTTCGGTGTCTATTTTCATGTTGGTCTGAGTTAAATGACGATCTTGGTCTGCTGTCTGTAAAAAAGGAAAGCATTAAAGATAAGACATGAACATTAAAGATAAGACCAAAGACCTACCAGGTATTTATAACTGACATTGCAAAAGCTTTTAGGATATTAAAGTATACGTATACATTTTGCACAACAGTGTATTGTAGACTATCACGTTTATCTAAAAGAACACCTGTTATAACTGTACCTGACACTGTCTACTCACAGAGGTAGCCAACACGGTGCCCGCGGGCACCTGGTCGCCCGCAGGGACCATGCGAGTCGCCCGCAAGGCATGTTCTAAAAATAGCACTAGGTCCCCATGGAGCTCCGTCTAAAAATTGTAGTTTCTGTTCTTTTTGAATCAAAAACGCTTGCATTCATGTAGTTTTTAAAAGGAAGAGGCCGCCGCACCGCACTAGGTTTTCAGGTTCCGAATGGCGGGCGCTTCCCGTTGGCACCGGACGCGCCGCCCCCGCCGCGATCGCACAACGTCGTCAGGTCCGTCAGTCCTCGGAACAGGCCGCGGGGCAACAACTCGTGGGTGGCGGGGGTAGAGGTGAGGCAACGCAGTACGATCGAAAAGGCCCAGACTAGAGGTTTGAACGCAGGCGACCAAAGACGCTCGCGTGCCTCGGAGGGTTGGATCCCCCCCTCGGCTATAGACAAGACTTTTTACTAGTTTCTTCGTGGAGAAAAAAGGTACCCAAAAAAAAGCTGGTGTCGGTGACTACAGACTACAGGCCGGCATGCAGGCTTCATTGCGCAATGCAAAGTTGACCCAGACTTCCCAAAATGTGGTGATTAGTACTAATGTAATAGGATTCATTTAAAAATGTGAAAGAGTTGATCTTTTTTTAAATTCTACATAACAGATCATTTGTATAAACATGGGACAGAGTTCATGATTTGTTCAAAAATGTTACGAAGGTAGTGGTTAGTACAAACGAGTCATGATTTGAAGATATGACAGTTAATGATTTCCTAATTTTTTTTTAGAAATGATTATTTTTTACAAAATACACAATCATTGTTAATAATTATTGTGAGGAATAATTAACATTGACATGTGATCAGACACTTCACATATATTATTATTGTTAAAAGGTGATCTGTTTAACTTTGTTATTCATGAAGTTTGTATCAAACAAGTAGCCCTTCGTACTGCTCAGTACCCTTGAAGTAGCTCTCAGTTTCAAAAAGGTTGGTGACCCCTGGTCTACTGTATCATCGTCTGACCAGGTTGTACATTATGGACATAACCATGAATTTAAGATTAGATGTGAACGTGTACGGACGGTGTAGTGCACATATACAAACCATTTCCATAATCTCAGTTCGCGTTTCTAGAAGCATCTTCTCATGCCCTACTTTCTGAAAATGATAAACAATGTTTGATTTAGAAGACAAATAGAAAGATGAAAAAAAGGCACTCGACGGATCTCCAAACGCATATTTAATGCTCTCAGGCACTTACCAATTCTTTTGAACGACTTTTCTCCAAATTCATCTCCATAATAGAGTCAGAGCGCACTTTATTCATGACATCCTGCAAGGTGGCAGTGGAGAGACACAAAGGAAAGTCATATCTAAACGTAAAATACAGACATCTTGGAGGAGACGAAGATGATGAAATGCTTCTAAATGAATGTGTCTACCACCAAACTTGGACATAAAGTGATTTGAGTAAATCAGAATGACCACTTACAGCCAGTTGGACATTGAACTGCAACAACTGGATCTTGAGTTTCTGGAATAAATGTTAAAACATCAAAAAATTTAAATCATATGAATCAGAAAAGAGAAGAACGGGCAGAAAATACTGCACAGCACAGAGTTATTCATGTGGGAGCAACTTACACTCCTTTATTAGCCGGCATTACTGATTTTTATATATTTAAATTCTTATTATTGTGCTTTATATTTTTAATTCAGATTATTGATTTGACCATTCAATTGTCCAACATGAATATATTCTATATTCACAGGTGCAGTGCAGCAATTTCCTTTGGGAAACGGCTTGATAATAAACACACTTACCTCATTCTCTGCCAGTAGAGTAGTGAACTCGCTCTTCTCAAGGATTATCATGTCCTTCTTCACAGATGCTATTTGAGACATCACACGCTGCAACATGATCTCCTGCCAGAATTTGCAGCAAAAGTTAAAAAAAAAAAAAAAAAAACCTTAGCTATGCAAAGCAAAATTACTCATCTGGTATGGAGAATGAGAACCACTGGAAACCCTGCAAGCCGTCAGGATGGTATGTCAGCTTTCTTTCTGACCTTTTTGGTCTCACACATCGGTCACTGAGACTTGATAGTGAATACGGAGAGAGTTCTTTTTAAAACTAATAAGGCATCAAGGTAAATCAAAAAGTTAAAACAATTAGTTCCTTGATTGATTTTATTTGCCTCCTCTGCCTACATTGCACACGCAATCTCACTGAGGTGTGAACACCGAGTTACACTCCGTTTTGCACGATAAGCATCTCTTTTCCATCAAGTGACAGGGAGACCACCACACGATGGAGAGATGTGGTAGAATTATTCTGATAATCCAGATTCCTCAAATCGTACTGCATCATATTCAAATATATGATCATATTATTGTTTTTATCGTTTTAATGTCCTGCTATGGATTTGCAAACAAAATATTCACAGTTTTCCAGGAGGTTAGAGGTGGGCTTTTTCAATAAAAATCCAGAGAATATATTTTAATTTATTTGCAATGATAAGCTACCTAGACATGTGCATTTTTTTTTTTCAAAAAAAAGAGGAAATACTATATAATTATTTATAATACTATACTATATTGCACTTTGACATGAACAAGCACATATTAAACTCCTAAATTAACCATTATTTGGATTTAATAAATGTGCTGTGGAAGATGAACACAATGGTCTCGGTTCAGTGACCTTTACGGGACTTGAGGCACAGCGTTTTCAGTGATACACAGCGCAGAATCAAACAGATGGTGACGTACAGTAGTGTTTATTTCTGTATTTACAGTAAAGGTACAGGAAACAAACCTCCTCCGACAGTCTCACCTGGTGCACTTTGGTTACCATGTCATTATAGATGACTTCCATGTTAGAGTTCGTCATCCTCACCAGCACTTTAACCATCACCTCAGCTTGCTGAGTCGTGAAGCCTGTTCAATGAAAGTGTGTATTTATGAGGAAAGTCGACAGCTTGTTTTTGACGAAGCAGAGTAATATTGTGACATTTTTTTGGAAGTGACAAATAAAGCCGAACCGTTTTCCTCAAAGAGTCGCACCACCGCATGGGTATCAAAAAACAGCTTCCCGCCGTCAGTCTTTGGAACATCTTGTCTCAGATACTGGGGGTCTTGGATGGAGGTACTCAGCTCTGAAATCAATGATATGAAGATGGAAGTGATTAGACAGGAAATTAACCATTAACCGGATGCCAGAACTGTAGAAATATTACTTTCCCCATCCGTTCTTTTTTGCAATATAAACTGTATGTCACTGCATATTTTAACACTACCCCATTTGTTTGTATTTATGCAACTTCCACCTTGAAGCTTTGCAATAAAGCAATGTAAATTACATTTTCCACATTATGTAAGCAATGACATGACTAATAACACAAAGTGTTTTTAAGACAGATTTTGCCTATTTAAAATTACAAACCGCACATATAATGGATTATACATATATTTGGTAATTTTATATTGTGGAGCATCATGTTTATCAAGAAAATGTTGAACTAACACACTCGCATACTCCAGCACTTACTCATATGTGAAAGAATTGATAGCTGTGTAAGTGCACGGCTGTTTTAATTTGCATATTTTATATATTTTGTCATTGTGATCCCATGATACATTCTATGTCACTTATTTTACTGCTTTATTTTACGTCCATTACAACAACAATAACCATCAGGATATGTGGTGGGCGAGTACAGGTTGGACCAAATTCTTATTATTCTTACCAAAGTTAAAAGATAGTTCATTGATGAAGCATTTATATATAAAAACAACAACACTAAACACTCTGTGGTGGTGACACACCTGAAAACAATAGGAGGCCATGTGGCATATTATGTAAATACAGCGTGGGGATGTGGGCAAAACATTGTAGATTTAGCATCAGGGTCTGGATTTAGAGATATCTAGAAAACACTGACTTGGTTATAATGTTGGAGCATTCAACTTTTTTTTTTTTCATTTTTATCCATGGCATCAGTGCAAGTAGAGGAGCTTTTATTTTGACACTTAACCAAGAGATCACGAATTTAGGACAGGTGTAACAGTCATAGACATTGTTGTCTGGTGAGCATAGTGTCGCGTGGGGGATTAGAAAGGGCACGTGACTGTCTATACATGCAAAGTGTCGTTTATGCCCATTCAAGCACATATTGGGGCTATTACGTTAGCCTATAAGCGGGTTCACAGTGGAGTTAATTGACGTTTACAGCTAGCTACATTTACGCTTTTGCTAAAGAGACCAAATGAATCTAGTTACCTCTGGCGGACGTCTGTGTCACTGCAGAAATGTGCATAATCTTCAATCCGGCTCGTCTCCCTCCCCAGAGCGGCTTCTCAAAGTTCCTCAAAGGTGGAATGACGATGCACCGGACACACGGTGATTTGTTGACAGCTGTCAAACCCGACATGTTTGGGGAATTGGTCGCTGTCACAAAATTGCTAACTCTGTTTTGATTAAAATAAAGGTCATACCGGTTTTCTGGGTGGTTAACACCCAAACGTTTGAGTCGCGAATGACACTGCTTGAGCACCATTGTCAAGGCTTGTGTCACGCCAGTAGCTGGGCTGCACTTCCGCCTGTGGAAATCCCGAGCATAGTACTGCCTCTCTGTCGCGGCTGCATTGAAACTTTTCACCTAACTAGTTATTGCCGCCCTATCATCACATTAGACAAGTGGTTCACATGAAACGTCCCCACGTCCGGTAACACACTTCAAAATAAAGCTCATGTTTGTCATAAATGCGTTACTTGTATGTTTATTGTATTGGGATGGCAGCAGAAGTTACATTGGCTGGTAGACATCAGACTGTTCCCAAATCAAACTGAAACAAAAAGCTCTTAATCATCTATTTATTTAGAGTTTTAACTGTAGAGTTTTTAATCAAACCCTTGGTGTACATTTTGTTTTTGCATAATGATATAAAATAACTAACTAGAGTCTTTGTCTGTATAATTGCATTTGATGGCTCAGTTTGTATTTCCTCCTTTTCAGATTGAATTTCCTTAACACCAAATGATTATTCTGTCATTTCACCATAATAAATTATGTTTCTTCATAATAAGGCGTGATACCTCTGACCCACATTTACAGTATCCTGCAAGCCATATAAGCTTCTCAGACTTCTGCAGACTCGGTTGTATTTGTATTGTATTCACCTTTTTCAAAGTAAAAAAAACAACTAAACAAAAACAATAGTAGAATGGGTAATTTAATGCCGTTTGAATTCTGTACATTTCCTGTTGCTTTGCATCCAATTATTTGGTGCTTTACCAAGGTGCTAGTCAGTAAAATGAATGGAAAACAACACAGTGTCATATCAAAGTTCATACTTCTACAATGCATAACTATACATTGTCAGTTCTCTACTGCAAATATTATATACATAATAAGTAACACTGAATCAAAAAAGCTTCAGTCATTGGAAGTGAATATTCTACCTATTAACTACAAAGCATCAGCACCTATGTCTTCTCAATGCCAACAAGGAATAAAATGTAACAAGTGTCTTTCTGACTTTTTTTTTAAGAAAGGAGAATGTACTGTACAGAACAATGGGAAATATAAGCTCTATCATTTTTACAATTAGGTAAAGTAAAATCAATCACCTGTCCTATATTGTATAAGTTATTTTAAACCAGTTCTAACTGGCGACCATGTATTTTTATTGTCACTTTGTTTAACAAAGATAGTTTAAAGTATATGCACTATGTCAGATTCACCGCAATAAATGGCAAACTAGTTTGCATCCAGATTTATTTCAGTGTATTATCTTATGCACGAGTAGATCATTTAGCTGTTATCTTTAAATGTAACTTTTTTTGAAATGAGTATGGACAGAGAAAACTTCTGTACTTGAAGTAGTGTTTTGTCAGTGTTACTGGGGTTTGAAAGAAATATAATAAGTTGAGTGCATTAAGGTCTTGCTCATGAGAAAAAGACAATACAGACAGATAAAGTGGCTGCCACCAAAACAACAGCGAACATCAATAAGAGCACAAAGATTTGACTGCGCTGGCATAGAGGCTGGTGTCCAGGCTGCTCCTCATCGACGGAGACCAGAGCCAGGGAGGCGCTGTCGGTGCTGCTGAGCGGGTCTGCATACGGTGGCCCATGGGGCTCCACCGTCCAGCGCATCACGTTGACCTTCATCTCCATGTCCTCGATCATGCGGTCAATTTGGCTGATCTCCTGCTCCATGGTGCTGCGCTCCTGGCTCTCTAGCCCAGCAGGGAGCGTTGGGCTCTGAGCTTGGTTCAGGTCTGGCAGACTGAGGGCCCGGGCTGCCACCTCACTGCCTCCTCCTGCATTAGTCAAATACAACTTTTTATCCAGTCGAACATGATTTAACTGATTCTAATGCAGCCTGCAACAGTCCTGCAATACATTTTAACATCATGAAGGTTATAATGTGTTTCTATCATTTACTAACATTCATATCAATGAGGGTAGGTTGAATCAGTGGTTCTCAACCTTTTTGCGTTGCGTCACCCCACTTTGTTTAGTTTTAATAGCTAGCACGAAGGCATCGTCTATGTGCTCCAGGCACTGTGGGTATTTTGTGCATTCCATGACTTTTTCTCTCCCCCTGACCTGCCGAAAACCCCCCATCAGAGTAGTCAGGAGTACTCCGACTCTCACAAACACTCAATAAAGCCTATTCTGAGGCAAGATGCATCACTGGTACAGGTGATATAAAGTGAAAAAAAGTCTAAAATGTTTAATTCTTAATATGTTCTTTTCTTTTTTTCTCCACAACCATCTGGCAACCGCTTGAAACACAATTGGGGGTCCCGACCTCCAGGTTGCGAACGACTGGGCTAAATAACAGACACGTCTCTGTATAATGTGATATGTTTCAACAACAACACAAAGTACATCTTCCAAAATGACCATAAAGCTGAATTAACGCCTCTCTAAAGTCAATTCAACAAATACTGAATAATACAACCCTCGTGAAGGTTATTGCACTACTGTTTTATCTTTTGTTTAACAAAATCTGATCTATTGTCACCAGTAGTAAAGTAGTAGCTAGATGCCTGCTCAAAAAGCCCCGACTAAATTCATGAAATCATGGTTTGATTTGCATAATTAGGATGTCAGATGAACTTTTGGCATATCAGACTATTTACACATTTATATGGAATCAAATACATATTTAAGAGGTTTGTAATTGATACTCAACCATCCTGACCAATAATCACTGAAGACATGGGGGGAAATCACTACAACATTTTAACATAAATGTCCATTTTGCTACTCATTATCATTTCAGTGAGTCCTAATCACACCCAAATCATCTCTGAAATTATTTTGAATATTATAACAATATTTGTTGTAATTATCTCCTAAATTTAGTCCCTTGTTAAATCTTGTGTTACACAATTTACCCGATGGGCTGCCCTTAACTAATCTACCCTCTGAAGTACTATTCGCATATACAATAAGAAGTGCAGGGCTATAATTTACCTTGTAGGCCAGTTTGCACCAGGGTATCAGTGTTGGCCAGAGAAAAGATTTCAGCCATGTGGAAAACTTTGCACATGTCAACATGGAGGAGCTCTAGGCTGGAGGAGAAGGCCACCCAGAGGAGCTCCATCTCCTTACGCTGCCCCTCAGGCAGGCTCTTGTTTCGGAGATGTGAGGTCAGATGACTACAGATGGACACGGCCAACATTTGGGCCTTTTCACGTGTTTGTCGCAACTCATCCCGCAGCTGCAAGCTGTCCGTGCACCCACCGACACACGAGGCCAAGTGCCGGTAACATGCCACCACCTGTGTGGAGAAAAATAAATAAAGATTTCGATGTGCTAATTGATATGCAAGCCTTGGTGGGAAATTAGGGAAACCTGAAGGTGTGTGCTACCAACCAGCACACCGCTATAGATGCTCGGAGTGAATATGTTTTATAGTGTCCTTGCTGGATATCTCAGAGAAGTGATTACTTCCTGGTATTCTGGGGCTGCTGTACTTCAACAACTCAGACCTGAAAACTGTCTGATACACAGGCAAGAATCTGTGCCTTCCTCCTGTAACTCAAAGTTTATAACAGCAACGTCCAACATGCTTGGTATCAATACACGCCCCAGCTGTGTACATCAACTGACCCAGTATACAGCAGATCATTAATCCTTGTTATAAATAGATATTGTGCATCTAACAGCCCTCTGAAGAAACTGTCCTCTAGTGAATAAATTAATATCCTAAATACAAATATGTTCAATCAATGTTATAAAACATATTGGGTAAAGTCAGTGCTTCATGAAGGAAAGAAATACTGGCTTTTGGATTGATAAGAAACAATTCTGATAAATATCCATTAGTTATCTGAAGCTGCTTGTGTCAAATGGGACAATTCCGCTTTTATGATCTCAATCATATCCTAACACGGTGTTTTATTAATAGGCATTAGCTTAGTCGTGGAGGATTAGCAGGAGGGGTTTCAATGAAAAATATTACAATTAATCTCATTATCACTGATCTATTTCCAGATAAGCCAAAACAACCTTGTGCATTCAGAGCATGGCGAGATGAGAGGGAATAAAGCAATGATAACTACATATGCTGTATTCTTTTTTAGATTTTTGTCCTGAATGTATTTATTGGCATTTATGCCTTTCCATACAGTATTTGTGCTTAACTTAAACCTTAGTAATGTTCCAGTAGTTCATTTTCTTTCTTTTACCATATAAAGTATGTTTGCTCATATTGTCTCAAATGCACACTCAGAACCCTTAAGCTATGTAACTTCCCAGCAAATTGTACACAGTATATTAGTAAGTGAAAAGCTCTAAGTACTAAGAAATTTATCAACTGCATATCGAGCAAATATTCGGTGAGGAGATATATTTAGGATAGGACACATTTTTTCTCACTGTGCAAAAAATATTTCCATCATATAAATGAACTACATGCCATAAACAGCAAAACTATTGTAGTAAATTATGGTTAAAACAACATGCAGGTCAATAACAGACAAAATGCCAGGCATGGCCGTAGCATTATCTAACAAAGATATTGGAGCGGTCACAAAGACGCAGTGGACCAAGAAATTCTTTTCAGTGAGAGTGCTTTTTTAACCACAGGGGGAAAAAATGATGCTAGGATGTCTTGTGTAAGTTTAGTCTGTGAAATATTAATATAAATATATTTTAAAAATGATAGAGAAGATAGAGCAATTGCTGACATTGACAAACAAAGCAACTTTGTTACATAAAATGCTGTGTAAAAAAAAATATCAACCTCATAGGTGTCTTTCTTTCTGCTTCTTCAATTGTAAAATAAATAACAGACTGACACTATAATTAATGTAATATGTCAGTATTACACCACAACATTCTTTTAATTCCTAAATGGTCATGGCATGAATAAAAGATGTTTAAAACTTGAAGCAGCTTACCTTAATCAAAGAATCCACCAGAGCCTTTCCATCTGCCAAAGCCTGGTCTGTGCCAACTGTGCACTCATCACCTACTTTGTTATTTACAAGTAGCATGAGGACGACTTGTCCAGAGTCTCAGACTCTGCCACAGCAGGCAAGATTTTGGCCCAGCTGCCCTTCACTTTTCTGGCTGCCCCTGCTCCTCTTCTTCCCCTGGAAGATGCTTCATTCAGTGGCTGAGGGTTGAGACGGACTCAGTCCCAGAGCCGCACGAGCCATCGCAAAATCCCACTCCAATGACTAAATTGCAATTATGGGTGCCAAACATGCTTTGGTGGGTCAAAAAAAAAATACCTGAAAGAGCCAAAAGTGGGAAAGTCTATGTAATGAGGGAGAAAAGTGTAATAAACTGATGTAACTCCTAAGCAAGGTGCTAATCCTGTGATTGACCCCTTTGGACTGACGCAGGCCAAGACGAACAGCTAATCTCATTAACCATCACCGAGACCAGCGAGCTAGACTGCCAGCTGCCCGTCTCTACCATAATGGCCCTTTCACTAACAGAGGAGGCTGTACTCTTTTACCTCAGTCACTCAACTGTAAAGGTCAATACACTACATAACATTTCTGTTAGCATGATGGAAATATTAGTCATGTTTCCTATATTGAATTGGTTAAGAATGAAAGGATTTCAGTGGTTGGGTGCAAAGAGACTAAAAACAAATTAAGTATTGATGCACTTAAGGAATTGAACATTGTACATGGTTTCTTTGTCCTATCAGGGTCTTTTGTAGTTTACTTTTCCTCAGGCTCTAGAGAATGGATGGCCTCGTTTCATCAGATTGATACAAGGTTCAGCGTGTTCAAAGCATTTATTCCCTGGCGTGATAGTTCTATAGAAGTGTGCATGAGCTTCTTTGTGTATACAGCACACAAGAAATGAAACTATGCATGTGGCTAACAAATGACGTCATACGAATTAAGCTTTAAATTTGAGTTATCCACAAGTTAAGAATTGATGCTGTAAATGACTTCACACCTAGAAGTTTGAGCAATTTAATTTGATTAAAAACACAAAAACATAGGAAATGCCATCATAAGAAACACTACACCTGAATAAAATAAACAATGAGTCACAATTGCAGGTGCCCCAAAACTGTCCATGTTTAAGGGATCTTTCTCCTTTTGTCCAGATGTTGTTCAATTGTGTGCAGTCTTCACCGTTTTCCTTAGCTTTCGCCCAGGAGAACTATTCCGGGGAGAAGTCACTGCTTCCCTGATGTTGGCCAGCAGGCCTCGCTTGGTTTTGGGCTCCACAGGAGACTTCTGGGAGTGCTTGGCAAGTTCTGCCTTCAGTGATGCAATCTCCCGGTCTTTTTCAACGTTCTGCCGTAGGATGTCGTCCATAGATTTTGTCTTACAGAAAAAAAAAAAAAAATAATAATAATTTCAATACAGGTGAGGTCATCAGGTTTGGATCCAGTCAAATTGTATTATTTATTGAAGCCATTACGAGTATGATCGGTCCCACTTTGTATCATCTCACCTGATCGTCCCACTTCCTCTGTAAAGCCTCCAGATCAGCCGAATTCTCCAGGAAGCCAACTCTGACCTTCTGAAGTGTTTCACTGAGCTCCATCAGCCTTTTCTCTAGGGACAAAATCAACTGAACCCAACATTAAATGTAAAGCTGAGCAAGTGGTCGCATAACCAGTTTAGCCAAAGTTTAATTGAATAACAGAAATTAAAATTTTGCCCTCGTTACCTGTTCTTTATCCTCGCACATCTTCTCTACGGCACATTTTTCTTTGTACAGCCGTTTGCAGCGATCTTCCCCTGTGGGGAAGAAATGAGCCGAGTGACGTTTATTACCATTACAACAAAAACTGGTGAGCTCAATGAAACAAGACTGAAAGAAGAATATACTAATAGAAAATACACTAAATTCAAAGGAGGAAAAAAAAAAAAAAAGCTATAAACAATATGCATCTTAAACTTTCATGGAGTGTACTTCTCTTAAACCACTCTCATTCAAAACAAAGTTATCTACATTCATCCAAGAGGGCATTTCCTGAAAGAGGAAGTTGCTAAGCTGCGTGTATTCTAACCTGCTGCTGCTGCTGCTTCTGTCGCTTTGGGTGGTGGAGTCTGGCACGACTGGTCCACTGTTGGAACTGCACACAATTCCTGTCCAACACTGGACGTTAAGGTGTCCAACTCTGACACTTTACGTTTCAGGGCCTGCACACAGTTGGTTGGAGACAGATGTTAGGTTTTAATGACGAACCAAAAATCTGACTGCTTGGGCTTAACATGGGACAATATCAGATTACTGTGAAGCCAATTTGGCTATTCAACAACTGAATATAGCAATGGGGATTTGAACAGTGCATTACATTCCACTAAGACATAAAAAAAGGTTTGAATGGGTTTTGTTAACAGCTGATCAAATGACATACCTCCACTTTCTCCTGTTCAGCAATGAACTCGTCAAGAGGTATGTAGTCATCCTCCAGATTGTTCATAGCACACTGGTAGGCGTGCTCTTTGATAGCATCCTTGTACATCTCAAAAGTGTTCTCCAGCTTTTCTTGGTTGCTCTCCTTCTGCTCCGCTATCTGTCGACTAAACAGTCAAAGCAAACATCATTTAGATTATTAACAAAGGGTTTAGTTAGGGATGTTGTTGCACCCGTGCAACCACTAATGCAGCCGAGGTGGGGGGTCAGCAACAACATCCCGAAGTAAACCCTTTGTTAAAAATCTTTATCAGAATCAGCTTTATTGGGCTTTAAGTGCCAATATGCCGAAATTCATTGAAAAAAAAAAAAAATAAGACCGCATACAATAGCAAAGATCTGCAGGACTAGCCTTCTCTTGCAAAACAAAAAGTGACTTGCATGCGGAGGTCTTCGCTCTCCATGAGCTGTTGTAACATGGCATCTCCCATTTCCTTCCGAATCTCCATTTCCTGAACCAGGTTTCTTCTTCGCTCAGCCAGGAGTTTTGTTCGCAGGCTCTCAATTATATTCACAAGGTCCTAGGATAGTGAAAGTAAAACATTAACGGAGAAAACTTTGATCTGCACAGTTAATCTTAGAATGACTGAAGTAAAATATTCCCCAACTGCTGTATTTGACAAAAAGTTAAGAATCTACAGTTGACAGTATTTGGGTAGAGCAGTGCTTTGAACTAAATGCCAACATCAACAACATGCTGATATTCAGCAGGTGATACTGTGTATCTTAGTTTAGCGTGTTAGCTCAGTAATGTTTGACAATTCGCGCTAAACGAGGAGTAGAGCTGATGTAGACGGAATGTCAGTTTTGCAGGTATTGACCTGATGATGGAGCTTATTACAATAAGTTATTACAATTCATTCTTTGGGGAACATGAATACGTGTTCTACAGCGCTACAGGAAAGGTCAGGGAATCACCAAAGTCTTTAAGATTCATCCTCGGGACACAATGAATGTCAGCACAAAATGTCACAGCAATCGATTCAATACAAGAAGGGCTTTCCGACATAAAAACCTGAAGGCAATAGATCGGACAGATTCTGACACCAAAAATACAATTGGAGAACAGTCCATCTCTGGTATATTTTTGAAACAAGGATTGTGACACGGAAAAGCAGGTTTACATCCTCTGGCAGCAAAGACATGTCCGCCTCATCCAGCAGCTCCTCCTCAGACAGGTAGTTCTCCAGGCCCTGGCTGTCGATCACCCCATTCCTCACCAGAGGCTTGCCGTCACGGCCGACCAAACAAGGAGCTGGAGACTCCAGAGACTTGTCTGGGATCACCTGCACCACCTACAGATGGCACAGGCAAGATCAGAGGTGTTTTAAGGTCTGGCTCACGGCACCGCTTCTTCTCACACCATTTGGTACTCAAGACTAACCTGTTTGGCAAGAGCAGAGAACTTCATAACATGGAGAGTTTCATCGTAGTTGGAAGCACACTGGTTGATGTTGACGATCATAGACACTTTCCCTTTGCCGCAGAAAACCGCCTGGAAGAGCTTGGTGAGCTTACTCTCTCGGAAAGGAATGTAGCTGCCCTTCATTCTGGTAAAAGGCACAGAAGAAAAAATAAAATAAAAACAACTTTACAATGCTAAAGCACACGCTGCAGGGTTTTAGCAATGCAAAAACATCAAAATTATTTAGAGTCGTTGCTGCTTTGCTTCACTTGTCAAACAAGTATTTGTATCTGGTGACACTTAAGAACCAACTGCACCTGTCAGTCTGATGGTTGCGAAGGGCACTGATGCACTTCCCCAGAATGAGCAGGGAGTTGTTTATGTTCCCGGCCTCCTTCAGCCTCTCCCCGAATGTCTTGGTTTTGTTGCATCGTTCTGAGCCGGCCAGGTCACACAAAGAAAACCTGAGAAACAGTTATTTTATGCATTACAGCTCCTTTCATGGTGCTGGAGCGGGACAAATCAAGTACAAACTTAAAATCTAGTCCAATAACTCCTAAGCAACAAGGCTTCAGTTCTCTCTCAGTCATGTCTTGTGTTTATTCTTACCTCTTTGGATGCATTTTAAGTGTTTAAATTGTCTGCTTTCTTATTCAGTTTCACTGTGTATTGTAAGTAGATGAGCCTATAATTCCTCTCACAACTGCAGCCACACAAAAAAACAAAACCACATCAGCATTGTTTGAATATTCATGACGTCTCTGGCAGATACATACTCCGAGATCCGTTTAACTGCGCTGCCATCGATCTTCAGTAACTTCATGGTAAATATGCTGTGGCTGTAAGGAAAGCGGGGTTGAGTTTTGAAAAGAGAAAAATGGCACCAAGCACAGATACGATGAAACGAAACGTTTGCCTTCTGCTCGAGGACTGGTTCATCTTCGTGGCTGCAGCACTTCTGTTTTTGTTTCCGAACTGTAGCAGTTTGGAGGCTTCTCCCAGGGTCTGGATGTTAATCCACCTGAGATCTGAAACACATTTTTTTGTTTTTAACACATTTGTTCTTTCGATTCAGTTTTAAGCCTTGAGCAACGTGAACACTACTGCTATTTACTACCCCTGGTGAAGTCACGCTCACCTTTAACATAAGCATTTCCAACACCATCATCACACACTCGAAGAGCAGCACGTTTCTTGGACTTTGAGCAAAAAGAAGGTTGAAGCAAATCATACACACACTCATTGTAGATTTCAAAGAATGCCACCCATAAGGCAAACTGGCCGCTGCCTGCTTCTGTTGGGTCACTTGCCAACACTAAAAAAGAAAAAGATGAATACGGAGAGTGAAACAGAAACAGCTAAGGGTCATACATAATGACATCCTGAGTGAAGTGACACTTCCTCATTTGAGTCCACACTGGGACAACTTCAAGCTCAAACAGTTTTTTTAAATGCAAAACAATATACGTTTTGTGTGTGTCGAATTTGTGAGAGCTACCGGTTTGATTGTAGGTCAAAGAGAAAGAGAACTGGGTAGAGGGAGAAGACAAACGACCACTGGCTCTGGTAGGGTCACACTCCTAGATGGGAGCAAATAAATGGAGCATTATGGTTATTTATCAATCAAAAAAGTCGTAGTAATATTTCTGGCGAAGCCTGCAAAAAACATCTCAAGTTGGCGAGAATTCTCTCACATCTTTGACTGAAGCTAAAATGGAAGCTTTAGCGCTTCTCTCCTGCTTGACTTGGTCAGGATCCAGATACTGTGCGTCATTCCTGAGGTAGGGCTTCAGGTCCATCCCATCATACAGACGGCCTCCGACGTAGTGAAAGGTGGCATCCAGCACTCGAGGGAGTATGCCCGGCTCTTTTGGCGTTCCTAAAACATTTCACAACACACTCAAGACAGGCAGAACAACTTCTGAGGGGGAACTTCTTGAGCTGCCATCTTTACCTTGGATTGTGTAGGTTTTCCCTGCGTTGGTTACGCCATAGCTAAATATCAGTGCATTCTTCCCGTCCAAGAAATCAGACATTTGGCTTTTGACGGTGTCCTCATAAAGCTTAGACTGGGTCATCTCTTGTCCAAAAATCTAAAAGCCAACAGAAAGATGGGTTGGTCTAAAATAGCTCAAAGTGCATCCAAAATATCTTTCAGGCAGATATGTGAACAGCACTGCAATTTATAATATTGCAGACCTGTGAGAAGGAGAATTTGTGGAGCGATGTGCCGATGCCCTTCTCACTGCTCTTCATGGTGGCGGAACCCTTTGGCGCTTTCAGGGTCACTGTCTGGTTGTTTTCAATCACTACACAACCCTGAGTAGAAAACACAAGTTTATACGGACGCATTGAAATGATGGCTTTTGTGTGGGCCATGGCTCATAGAAGGCGTTTGTGTGCATATGCAGATGACTACAGTCTAGTTTCATTTCCCTCAACAAAAATCAACTCATAGGACCAATATGTCATGTTTTGGAAACACATGGATCTTTATAATTACTAGTAATGAAGCAATTATCTCTCAGTTCCCACCTTCACTTTATTCAGCATTAACATAGAAAGCACTGCAGAAACATAAAATGAGTTACATAAAGTTAACCCATTATATCATTTTAGTGCATTTAAATGAAGACAGGGATACTGGTGAAGTAGGTTACACTTAAGCCAATAATGCTGGGGAGGATCATTTCCATACAGTCCCTTACCTCAGTGGAAATCAGAAACAATATAAATGATCCGCAACACTTGCAGAAATAATAAATTAGGCTACAGAGTAATGTCTCGACTTCATTACATGTAAACATGGTCTGTGTAGCATTATGGACTAGTGCTCACTTCTGGGTTTAAAAACACATTCATTGTCGTCATGATTATTAGCTACTGTATCAAGCACAAGATGGACTGGTTGACACCTTTTATAGCCAGTAATACACTGTACCTGTTCCTCCTTGTCAGAGAGTTCCTCTTTAGAGAAGGGCCTGACTCTGAGGTAAACTCTCATGGTCTGCTGCTCAGCACCACCTGGCAGTTCAGTCTACAAACAAAGAAAACAATCAGACCACTAAACCTCAGTGCAGACGAGCGGAGTCGTAGGGTTTATTTCAGTCCGTTTCGGCAAGGAACAGGCATCCTTGGTCAGAGTTGCTAAAACACATGAGTACAAAGTGAAAGACAATCTGAACTGTAGTACTGTTCAATTAAAACAAGAAAGAGAAAAAAAATATTACCTGCTGGGATGAAGTGCTGGCATGGGAAACATTACAAGTCATGTCCATGTCAGCAGGCTGCATATTGATGCTGTCTTCACCCATGAATTTAACTGTACTCATGTTGATTCACTACATGCATTAAACAAAGTCTTGCTAAATGGAGATCTTACAGTCCCCTGACTCTTTGGAAGACAAGTCACAAGAGATATTGGCCTTAAGAATGACTTATTTCCCCTACACGTAAGTCTGATGGTGTTCTCCCACTGAGAATCCAGAAGGAGCTTGTAATTTGTATTAATTGAAAGCAGGTGTGAAGTCAAGCAAATCACCAGGAATGACCAACCAGCTTAGAACTCTACTCTGGCTTTACTGGGTCGAGGTCAACAGAGATATATCAAATCATTGTCTGAGGATTAATCTCCTAATATTAAAGTTATAATACTACTAAAAAGTAAATGTAGATGCATTAGCTTTTCTTTTTTTATTTGATACCAAAATAATACCAAGACTTGTTTTCCATTCGTCACTTAAAAGCTAGAAAGCCAGAGTATGTAACACTTCTACACAGAAATAACACATTCTTCCTCTGAGTTAAATTTCTAAGCAATAAAACATATCCTTGTTTAATCAGCCTTTTCCATGGAGGACATTTAGACTTGTCACACGTAGGGAAAACACAGGTGTAAATAATGAAGTTAATGATGGCTGTGTTCCACTTAGCTGCTTTAATTTCAGGTGGTATCGTGCATGCTGGCTGACTGTCAGTCCTGATCGTAAGAGACATCATTAGTGTTATCAATAACACCTGTGCTTTAGCATCTATGACAAGTCAGTCTGCTGTGGGAAAGGTCTATTCATATACTTAGGCGTTTTGTTTACATCTTTACTTGATCTCATAAAGGACCAGTAGCTCGACTAATTTGAACTAAATCAAGCTGTATGGCTGTTACCTGCATTACATGTTTCGGTATTCACCATCATGTAACTGTCATTTGTGGCCATAGTGGTTTCTAAAGTTGTTTTCTTTAAAGTAAATTCAGTGTTTCTGGGTAGGTACAGACATAAAAAAAAAAAAAAAAACTGTACAAAAGTATATGAGCCCTTACTTGAGTGAAAGCAAAGTTTGCCAGGGTAAATGTGTTTAGTCAACCTATTTGGAACAGATTAGTTTTGTGAACAGCTTCTAAATAATTGGTCTTTTGTAATGCACACCTCACTACATATATGAATTTTAGTTTAAACAAAGACTGCACACAAGTCTACAATTGTCAGCAATCTCAAACTATTTTTACATTGTTGGGATCAGCTAAAAAGAGCACTAGATTCAAATAAATACCATTTCCAGTGAGATGATTTTGGCTCTCCAATGTGAATGAAAATAGGATTACATATGAATAGTTATTGAACTGCTCCAGAAAAATTTAATTTTGAGCAAGGATTACCTAAAACCAACATTGTCTCTATCAAATAAATTTGTAGATTCTGTTGCATCAGTGCTCCAGTTATCACCTCCATGAATGATTTTCATTTAGTTACTTCCTTTGACTCCAATTGCTGTAAGAGACATGCACTGCTAGAACACTGCTCCTTTTAGCTTCAAGGCAATGTCGCATAATGAAGTTTGCTGGTTAATGTATGATCCCCGTTCCACACACTGCCCTTCAGTGGCACTTAAGCTTTTTACACTATAAAGAGTTTCTTCTTCAGACAAAGAGCACACCCAACAACACCACATCAGTTTCCTTATTCATTTCTTTATTGAATGATCGGCATCATTTATGCATCTGCGATGGTGACTTCAACCTCTACACCGGGTTCGATGCTGATGGAGGTGATCTGCTTGACGATTTCAGATGGGCTGTGAAGATCGATCAGGCGCTTGTGGATCCTCATCTGGAAGCGATCCCAGGTTTTGGATCCCTCACCACAGGGAGTTTTCCTGGTGGTGATACGCAGAGTCTGGAAAGGGCGGAAAAATTATTTAGCTTGACCAAACCAAGAATCCAGAATACCACATCTAAATTATCCTACCATGTTTCTTAACCAATATTAATACATCAAACTACAGACACTACCAGCAGTCACTTCAAAAGCCGATTGTTTTTCAGGAGTTCAACTCTTTCTTACACTGCAAGTGTAGTCTGACCATACCTTTAAAGCCACGGTCATTTCAAATGAATTGACTGGCATTACCTGAGTTGATGGAATTATATTTACCGATCAGAATTGTTGAGAAGTTTACCATGTGGACATAAACTTTTGCAGACACTATATGGTTAATTTCATATCTATTCTCAATGCCAGTTTTGTCCATGAACATCTTTTACCGAATGCACAGTCTGTCTTCAATGCACATAACAGCAAATCCATGACTTAAACTTTTTTTTAAATCTAGCTCATGTACTACAGTACCTTGGTTGGCATGCGGACGGGTCCCTTCACCTTCAGGTTCTTCTCCTTGGCCCCACGGATCAAGTCTGCGCAGACTGAGGATTATAAAGAGACAAAACATTTAAGACTACAAGCAACCAGTAATCACTTCATGATACTTAAAAAGCTGTGGCTCAGAATAGCGTATATCCAGTCTTCACTGTTGATCAGATGGAAGTTGTCCTCATCGCTCACATTTACATTCTATCCACAACTTGGAGCTTAGTTACCTTTCTCCAGAGATTTGACATTGCGGCTGGTGAGGGTGATGCGAATGCGATGAATGGCGACCTCAGTCTCAACAGGTGCCTTGCCAGTGTCCTTGAAAGCCTGCAGGTTTGGAAACAGTCATCAAAATGCTAGCTCCGACATTGAAACTCACAGGATTTTTTGGATAAGACTGGTACTGCAGTACAACTTTGTATGTAGGCATGTACTGATGAGCACGGCAGAGTTACGAGGTTGAATATTTTCTCCTATAGTACACAGTAACACCACCATCTTTGCTTGCATGACCTGAAACAGTGTATGGTTTACCATTACAAGAAAACTATACGTCAAATCAATAATATTACTATAAATGTAGTAATTTAATATCATCCCTAAACTAAATAAGCTCACTCCTCATTTCCGTTGCAAAAATTGCAATTGATTTCAAGTGTACGTTTTGAACTTAAAAGGATAATGAGCTTATTAATAGTTTCGAACGTCCGACACGTTGGCGATTTACGGGGAGCAAGTGTGTCCCGTTTAACATCACTTTCTATGATAAACTGTAAATCCTCAAACTCCAAAGTTTGTCTAATTGCACTTTCATAATTTAGAGACACAATATGGGGAGCAAGAGATGATTTTACAGCGTTACCTTCAAGCAAAGGCTGTTGGTTCATTTTTAAGTATTCCGAATTATAAAGTGTCTAGAAGACTCAGGAAATGTAGACCGCATAAACTGAGAGGTTTATAGCTTTGTAAATATGCAAAGTATTATTTAAGAATCCAGTTTAAGGATTTCTGGCAGGACATCCAATTCACGCGACATGAGCTGTCGGTGCTATCGTTAGCCAACAGACTCCGCAGAATTTCGACGTTAAAGTTAAGCTATTAAATCACAAATTCACGACAGAATGAACTTCATTACACGAGTAACATTAATATTCAAACGGCACATACCATTTCAATTGTCACTGGCCGACTTATTCGGGAGAAATTCAAGCGAACAGCGGTGAGCCAGGAAGAGTAGCTACCAACGTGGTTAGCTGTTCAGAAAAAGAGAGCGAGCTAAGGCCCGTTTCCTGGTTATGTACTGCTCATCCGGGTCTCCGATACTTCTTCTTTGGTGTTTAGACTACCTCAACAGCGACATCTAGTGGCTACGCTTCTAAATTAAAAAAACGTCCACACAACACCGTAGACACCTGACAAAAATTGAAACAAATAAAATAAATTTAACTATCTAAAAGATCACATGGACATTGCATTTTTACAGAGATGTATTCAAATTACTCAAATATGATGGAAAATAAGTTCATATCGTTTGGTTATTATATTTATGATGGTAATTGATAACATGATCATTAATATCACAACTGGTACATCACACATCTAAGAAAATTAATAACATTCAGAATTAATTTTTTTGCCAGTGAAGAATACAGAGACATGTGACCACCGGGGGTAGTAAAGCGTAAACTCAACTGTTGACAACAACCCGCTCCACCAGTGTGGTGTTAAGTGTAGAAGGGTAGACACGATAACATACTATAACGTCCGGCAAATATTTAGAGAGAATAAAACAAATATATTAACATGAGTACTAAACGGGAACACAAATGATGTACCTATGAAAAACAATAATAATCAGGATTAATATCCTTATTATTGCAATTGAGTGTGGGTTTTGTGAGTTCCCGTATGTGACAACCAACTTGAGTGCAGAGAACACATGTTTTATTTTGAAAGATGAAAGCGGAAGTCCAGTGTCGTTTTGTAGACGTACTCATGCTAGTCAGGTTCCTCAACAAGTAACGGGACTGACCGGTTGCCAAAAAGTTGTTTTGTCGAAACCCGTTAGGATGCTACGAATGTGTTGTGGTGGTAAAATATTATTCCATTGTTGTAGTGTTTGAGTAGAAGAATAGAAGTTAGTGACTTGGGAACTACATTTTATTTAGCTGTGCGTCATGATTCCCAACCACAGGCCGCCGCCAAGTGACAGAGGAAAAGTTATTGACGATGAAACTTAACTCCAGTTGAATGGAGACGGACTAACACTATTAATGAGGAGATGAATTTCGGTGTCCCCGCTAATTCGCTGCTGCTTTTCCGTGCCTGCGACGAGGGAGACTATGAAACCGCCCGGGGGATCCTGGAGCCCGGTGCCCCGAAAGAGTCGGGACGACAGAGCAGGCTGCGGTTAGAAGCGGGGTCGGAGTGCAACACCGCGGACATGTTGTCTCTGGTACCGGTGGACTCCACGGACGAGGAGGGGAACACCGCCTTACAGTTTGCGTCGGCCAGTGGTCACGAGAACCTGGTCCGGTTTTTGTTACGAAAGGGGACCTCGGTGGACAGCCGCAACAACTACGGCTGGACCCCGCTGATGCAGGCTGCTAGGTGGGGCTCTGGGCCGGAGCTCATGTTCTAATGTATAAAGAGAAATATAAACCAAACTCCATTAAAACATCTGTTATTTGACATTACATGCGTGATGGTGAATTATTTTAAGTGTATAGTGTAGAATTCAGGAACTTCTGCCATGAAACACTGGCGGTGAACATTGTGAAACTTTTATAAAAGTATTTTACTCTTTTTCAATTAAGAGTATGCTTATTCGGTCTTGCCTGTTACATGCACATTTGTTAAGCAATTGCCTTATTCTAGCATGGAGTTTGGTGGAGCAAAGTGTATTAACAATCTGCTATTGAAATCAGCTTCATGGTTTCATATTAATGTAGGTATATTAATGTTTATTTAATTAAAATATGGTAACCGTGTCTTGAAACTTTGACAAATAACTTTTGAGAAATCATTCAGTTGATGACAATCACTGGCTTGCACTTTGACCTGGAATTAGACAAGTTGCATCTGAAATAATCCACAATTCTCACCCCCCCAAAAAATCTACTAACACTGATTGTAATGCAACCTTCACATGTTTTTGCTTCCAAGTTGATCAACAACACAGGCAACGAGGAAGGTCACAGCAAGGGTCTGGATTTCAACACCTGCCTGGGGCCTGTCTATGTAGAGTTTATTACATGTTAGGTATCAACTTTAGGATGATTTTCCCAAAGGAAATCAATTAAGTGTGACATAACTTAACTGGGTGGTGCTCGACATGTGACAGGAGGACCATGCCCTCTCATCCAAAGTTGATTCAGCTCAGAGAAAAGGGCCCTCGTGCATTTTAACACGTCTGATGGACTTTCTTAAACTTGGGTGATATAGATCGTTAACTCCCAATCTCTATCTCATTCGTTGTCTCCAATTCTCCCCCCAGGTTTGGTCACCTGACTGTTGCCCACATCCTGTTGGAGAACGGGGCAGAGATCAATGGACGCAACAGGCTGGGTGCGAGTGTTCTTACTATGGCGGCCCGCGGGGGACACACTCACGTAGTAAAGCTACTCCTGGAGAGCGGGGCCTACGTCGATGACTATGATCACCTGGCTGTTGCTGCGGAGGCAGTCTCGAATGGCAACAACAACAACAGCTGCAGGTTTGGGCTCTCATTCTGTCAGGCGTTAAGCCTACCACTGAAACAGAGCTCAATTCAGTTTACCTGTTATTCATCCTCTGAGTGGCTCTTTCTTTTTCCACAGCGGGGCTGGTTTCGGAGGTGGTGAAGGCTGTCCAGGAGGCGACGGCAGAGAATTCATGGACATCATAGCCCTGATGGTGGCATCTCAGCATGGCCACGAGGCCTCGGTGCGCCTGCTGCTAGAATGGGGCTCTGATGTCAACTTTTCCCAGAAGACCACTGGCTGGGGACCCCTCATGGTGGCCACCCTCGGTGGGAAGGTGGGTTCAATGGATCGATGGATGGTTGGATAGATAAACAAGATGGTTATAATACATTATGTGTTGTCTTCTGGGTATGACATTTTATAGCATGTGCCACTTGACATGTATTTACATCTTGCTACATGTGACTTTGTTGCAGCACAAATGCTTATGAAGTTGTGACTGTCTTTGTTTTGAGTAACGGGAGCAGCTGACCAATGAAGTGGTTGTGTTTTGAAGGTGGCTGTGACTCAGCAGCTGGTGGAGCGCGGAGCTGACCCAGACAGGGTTAATGTTCTGTCCAAGACGGCCTTTGAACTAGCCATGCAGCTTAAACAGAGAGACATCAAGGCCTATTTGGACTCCATCACCACTGTCCGACCCCAGACCGGTGAGGCAATCGGTTTGCACTTTACTACGTGATAAACAGCATAATGGTATTAACGGTGAGATGGATGGAAATAACATCTGTTGGTATAAATTACATCCTGTATCAGTATGTGTGTGTGTGTGTTGCTGTCTTGAACTGCAATTAACACGGATGTGAGAGCGAAACCAACAGTGGTAGCTCTCAGCCTCTTTGATGTTTGATCGCTCTCCTCACCACAGAACATTTCATATGACCTGAACGTCTGAAATCAAACCTAAACCCCAAACCAGAGCTCAGTTGCGGCGACATCGCTTGGCACTTCGGCTATCAATATGTTAAGATAAATCCAGCTCATGCATGAATGATTAGGCAGTGATGTGCCATGTAGACATTGGCTGGGCTGAAATACAGGCAAGTGTATGATTTTTAAAATCATTTTAGTTCAGTGTGTGTTCCAGTTACAGAAGAAGTATTTTATTCTATCTTACAGATCTGTAGTTTGACTTATGTCTTCTTTCTTTTCTTGTTGTTGAAGTTCACTTTTATTTGTGTGAGTGGTGAATTCAGCAGTGATAAGTATTTATTTACATAAACCTCCCCCACCCCGGGATTAACAGGTGATGTTGAGCTTCGTGAAATATGGCCAAGTACTTCTATTGTTTCAGAGTATATCAGACCTCTCTCCTGTTCTCAGCAGTACGCTTTTCTCCACAGACGACGAAAGGCGAAGACCAGATGTGTTCAGTGCACTCAAGTTAGGTGAGTTCAATTGAATACTTTAAAGATGCAGCGAAACTACAAGTTAACTGCATTTTGGTTGTTAGATTAACAGGTGATGCAAAAAAACTCAACCAAGTCAATCAAATTGCTTATTTATGTATCCATATGTATATATATGTGTGTGTGTGTGTGTGTGTGTGTGTGTACTCAGGAAACTCCCAGCTAGTCAAGGAGATCTTGGAGGAAGATCCCACTCAGGTGAATTCATCCAATCAGGAGGGAGCGTCACCTCTTATGATAGCGGCAGTGAGCGGTCAGCTGGAAGTGGTGCAGCTGATGGTGGAGAAGAATGCCGACATCGACAAGCAAGATGGCGTCCATGGGTGGACCGCTTTGATGCAGGCCACCTATCATGGGTAAGGAGGACATGCTGGTGTATCATGGTAAACCTTAGCGGGGATAGTGTAATGCTGTACATACACTATGAATGCTGACGCTGTCGTCAATCCTTTCTTTTGTTTTCTGTCTCCCTCCTTCTTTCAGGAATAAAGACATTGTCAAGTACCTGTTGAGTCAAGGGGCTGATGTCAACCTTCGAGCTAAGAACGGATACACAGCGTTTGATTTGGTGATGTTGCTGAATGACCCAGGTACCCGCACTATCGTCTCTTTGTTTTATAGCCCTTTGGGAAAATGTGCTCAGGCTAAACAAACAATTCCTCCGGAATAAACTGTATTAAATAGCAGGATTAATAAAATCAGGTTTCCACCATTTGTGAAGATAGCAGTACCCTCTTGATAGCTCTTTAACTTTGACCTAAGTTAGAGGGTAGAGGTACTTAACGTGAGTTTTGAATATTAACCAAGAATAATTCATAAGAATAATTTTCCAAAATGTTCAAAAACTATTCGGGAATTAAATCCTTGAGACATTACATTGACTGTAAATGGTATCCTTTTATTGTCAAAGGATATTGTGTTTATGTATGCTTCAGTGTGTGTGATATGTTATGAGAGATGCTTGCTTACATTATCTATTTTTCAAAATTGACAGCTTTAAAGCTGAAATCGTATTGAAATGAAGTTATGGCTAAGTAGCCTTTTATGTTTTAACAACTAGCGCACAGTAGCACCTGACACAGACCACACGGGGTAGTTTCCATGATGTTTGTTCATCGTTTCACTCAGTGATTCATTTTCTATGTGTCTACTCTGGACTTTCACAGACACCGAGTTGGTGCGTCTGTTAGCGTCAGTGTGTATGCAAGTAGACAAGGACAAGCCGAAGCACCGTAGCAGAGCCTTACTGACTCGCTCTAAAAGCCGACAGTCGCTCAACAACGTCCCCGTCCCACCCGACGACAAGGGAGGCCTCAAGGTAAGAAGAAGCCTTGTACCTTTAATATTCTGTTATGAATCCATATCATGTAGTATTGATCAATTATTTTTACATTATTTTATTCAAATGTAATCTACAAAATCAATCTGTTTTTAGTAAAATGACTGGATTTTATATATATGTTAAGGGGGTCTATAACTCTACCCCATTACATGTGTGACTTCACCCCCTTCCAGTCCTGGTGGAGTCGGATGTCCAATCGGTTCCGACGGCTGAAGTTGACTCACACCCTGAGACACGGCCTTTCGTCCAACCGCCTGGCTCCATTTCCAGGCGATGCTGAAACGTCATTGGACGCCACGATGAAGGCGAACAGGAAGCCGGCTGCCGGGTCTAATGGAGCGCTGGCACCAGCTCCTGCCCTGGGGGGGAATGACATCAGCACTGCCTGGGCAGGCAAGAGCAAAGATACTGGTGAGACTCAGCGATAACATTATTTCATTGTCATTGTTAGAGCAATATTACTGTCGTCAGTAATACATGAGATCGTTAGATTAAAGGGGAACTCCACCTGTTCCATCAAAGTCTGTGTACACGTTTTGGGGAGTGCTACTGAATGTGTCAATGTGACTTATGTTCCTTTTGCAGGTCTTTGCAGGACAAACTCAGAAAAGGAGGACTTTCTTATAACCACAATGGTAGGAGTGTTTGATTTGATGTGAACTATGCTTCTTTGTACATTTCTTCAAGCTTGGTCAGTGTTGTTCTTACAATGAATTGCCTCATAGGACATCGGAAAGTTAGCACGCTGTATTAATAAAGTGTACGGTTGTTGTTTTTAGTAGTAGTATTATTGTACTGTATGTATTTCCATGTCCTCTAGCTCAGAAGTGGTGCGCCCTTGACCCGGCTGCCCAATGACAAGCTGAAAGCGGTGATCCCTCCCTTTCTTCCTCCGTCCAACTTTGAACCGTGGAACTCGGACCGCTCGCGTCTCCTCGGGGAGGGAAAGAGCGAAGCGCCCCGCCTGCCCATGCCGCCCCAGAGGAAGCTGAATAGCAGTGGAAACTCGGATATTGTGAGTGTTTGTGGGCAAGAGGTGCGGTGCTCGTGAAACCCTTTATGTGTTCTTCATCATTCATAAGTCTTTTGCTATTTTCTCTCCTTCTCTCTCCTCTAAATGTCAGACATCTATCAGTCGCGTGGTTAGCAGATCCATTAAGTTCCCCAGCATCCCCAAGGGGCCCTCCTCCTCCTCTCCTTCAAACTCCGGTCACTACCACTCCCCCCACTCCTCAGGAGGCTCCAATGGAGTGGCAGGGATCAACCGGGACTCTCATAACCGTTCAGGTTCACACAAAAACACAAGACAGATAACAACATACCCTGTCACAATGAGAACGCAAGCAACCGAATTACACGCTCTTGCCTCTTTCTTCCACCAGGGGGCAGTGCAGACAGCGTTCTCTCCCAGATAGCAGCCCAAAGGAAGAGAGCAGCAGGCCTGATGGATGCGAAGGCCCCGGCTCCGGAGAAACAGCCCAGCCAGACTCAGAGTCCACCCTCTCTGCCACCCTCAGCACCCGGCATGCCGCTTCCTGATATTAACCTTCCGGAGATCCACTCCCACTCCAGCCTGGTGGCTCCCGACATCCACTCCAGAAGGGTCCGTGTTGTGCTTTCCTTTTTGTGGTTGCTGTGTAAAACAGTTAAAGTAAAGGTATTGCCTCCTCTCATGTCAGTGAACTGGCGCTGCTCATTCTTTTTGTAGAAGATGGAGTTGAAGAAGAGACCTCAGTCGGGGAATTCTTCCACATCCAAGAGCACGTCGCCCACTCTGACTCCGTCTCCTTCCCCGACGCCCAAGCCCCCTACTGGGCCGGGAGACTCTCTGTCCTCAGCCTCTTCCCATCCTCGCTCCAAGAGCAGCGGGGGCTCCAGCAGTGGAACCATAACTGATGAAGGTGATACCGTGTTGATCTAGCCGTCAACTGAAATCCTTCTTCCGTACGCCACAATGTTCACAAGCATAATTTATTCAGCTTTTAGACCAATTCTGTAAATGTTTGAGAGAACGCTGGAAAACAATGTTAATAGATGTGCGCAATTATTGACTGTATTTATTATTAATACAATGATTGGTGTTATTAACTGATTCTTGATAACTTGAAATTAATTTTGAACCATTGGCCTTGACATAGAAATAATCGACACACATGAAATCATACAAACTAAATCTACTTGTAAAAAAACCCGGCCGTGACATCACACAATGTGTTGCTTGTGTCTTCTTTCAGATGAGCTGTCTGGTATATTAAAGAAACTGTCCCTCGAGAAATACCAGCCAATATTTGAGGAACAGGAGGTATTCTATCTTTTACGTCAAAAGGGAGTCCCAAAACATTTTCCTTCAGATATATTGTCTGTCTTTTCATTTTTTCCCCCTTTTTCCTCCGTTTGAGTCATGAGTTCTCAATGTGATGGAAACTGCTTTCCTATAACTACATCACTGCATTGCTTGAGAGAATAGCACAGTTTTGTACTCATATTAGAAAAGACAATTGTATACGTTTCATTTAATATGTTTTATACAGTGTTTTCAATCGGTGTTTCTCTTTTCTCTTCCTCTAGGTGGACATGGAGGCTTTCCTGACTCTAACAGATGGAGACCTGAGGGAGCTTGGCATTAAAACGGACGGACCCAGACAGCAGATCTTAGCGGCCATATCAGAGCTCAATGCTGGAAAGGTGCATGTGATTGAACATATATTATGCATCTCTAAGGAACCTTTGCTTCCAGATGTGTGTATCCAAGGATCTCTAGGGGCTTACGTTATATTTGTTTCCACTTTTCCACTTTTCCTCAGTATAACTCGACATTATATCATAATAAACTGTCAACATTGTGAGCCAGCAGAGATAGGTAGAATTGCTTTGACCGTGGATAGAAATTGCTAAAGGGACCAGAGGGACAAGATATGTGAAAGTATAGCGAGAGCCATATGATCTTTACCTGAAAATGTTAACTGATTTATTATGGCCGTTGTCGGCTGTCATCAGGGCCGAGAGAGGCAGATCCTTCAAGAGACCATCCACAACTTCCAGTCGTCCTTTGGTAGCAGCGCGAGCAACCAAAGACAGCCAGCTGAACCACGCTGTGAGTGTCAAAAAGCTGAGCTGGGTACTTGGAAATTGGAGCACTATTAACACAAAGACAACATCATAATCTCTCTCTCTCTCTCTCTCTCTCTCTCTCTCTCTCTCTCTCTCTCTCTCACTCTCTCTCTCTCTACCTTTCTTTATCAGCACCAACGGGTTGGATGAGACACCAGGTTCGTTCCTCCAACAAAAGATAACCCAGCAGCCCTGACGCCAGCCAGGAAGTACACCAAAGGTACTTAAGATGAGAGTAAAAATGCCGGTGACCTCTAGCCAAGGCACGACTAATAAGGAGTATTCTGGACGCCGGTGTCCCGGACCACTAGCGGCGTTGGTGCAAGAAGATGCTGCAGCAAAACCACCAAATAGACCCTGATAACCTGCCTTTGTAGAACCCTCCAGGACCAAACAGCATTAAAAGTATTCCTCCCGTGGATCCTAAAGCAGGAGAGGTGTGACAGGGCCGGCTGAGTCCAGTGCCCTGCTGCGGTTTGACAAAGCACATGGTGTGTGGCAAATGATGATGTTTTTGTTTTTGCCATAATGATACGGTTGCCACATCTACTGCTAATTCAGCGCAGAGAGGTTAGAGCGCAGAGAGTGTAAAAGACGAGAAGATCAAATACACAGCAGAGGGAGAGGGAGAGATTGTTATTTTAGCCAAACAAATGTGAAGGATACAGCATAAGTATTGTAGAGATGCCAAGGTAAGTCAGGAGAAAAGAAGAGAGAGAGCACGAGTATAACAATAAAATAGGTATTATCCAGAAATACTGAGATTAAGACTTCAGAGCAGTTGTAATGACCAAGAAGGAGCACTGATGAGGAAAGAATATGGAGAGAGAAAGGGACATCATACGAACAGATCATTTTTAGTCAAAACTGTGCTGTCATGAATAAATAAACATTACATTGATGCAATAACTATGTTTTTTTTTATGTTTTAGACCTAATGGACTTGAGATGAGAAAGCATTGGCAAAAACATTTGGGAGCATTTTATGAGCCGCCTAAATTTAGTTTGGAAGAGAGAGTTTCCATTGAGCATGTTTTTGCATCTGGCTCCATCAATACAGTTGGTCCGATGGAGCACGATATCATGTAACACTAAATATGAGGTACTTTTGATCCATGTCTTTAATCCAAAGGATTCAGATATCATATCCTGTTCAGTTATGTACTGCATCTGGCAGCGACGAAGCGAACATACTGTACTGTGCTTTCAAAAACGGAATCTGGGTGATGAATCAAATCAATGAAAAACATAAATAAAATCTGTGTCCAAAATGAAATCATGCAAAACCAAAAATAAACTGAATACAAACTATATTCATTGGTTCTCGGGTTTAATGGTTGGAAAGCCGGTTTCATGTCCCAGCTTGTGTAAAACCTTTACGCAGACCAAGTCAAAGCTGATCTTCCCTCCACAAGATGGCAGTGACCTTCCATTGGTGCAATACATTATCAGAGGGTTTCTTCTCCAGCTGGAATAAACTGTTCTGTGAAGTTTAGCTCCCTGATTGAGGTCTCTTCTTCAGCTTTAGCAGTCACATTATAGCAACTTTTGAAAAAGTTGAATTCATCAGCAATAAAATGTGCTTCTCCAGCCTTACCCGGTCTGGCATGACCAGTAGTTTCAGGTGGCTAATCTTAGCCAATGCTAACTTTAGATGTATTTCCCTGTGTAACTGACATTACTTAGTCAGTTCGCCAACTTGGTGTCCCCTTTTCTACTTGTGCAGCAGTGTCTCTACATTTTAGTGTTTACCATTACGCCGTCATTTCCATTTGAAGGCCATGGGTGTAGCTGTTTATGTCGTAGGTAGCAGGCTGCCAAGGAGGTGTAAAAGCCTCGTCTAGGAGCTCAAATAATGTTTCTTACGACTAAAACTCAAAGATCCATATAAATATGCGAATATTTTTCATTTCAAAAGTTTGAACTACTGGACACATGATGTCGCCAACTGATAAATCTCTTTTCTGTGTATCTGCATTTGAGGTTTGAAGTTGCGTACTGGGCCACAGTTGGCATCCAAACTTTATGATGTCACAAAATCACTGTCGTAAGTACACATGTTAAACTTTATGTCGATGTCAAATCAGTTTTGATGGTAAATGTAGTCAATTGAAGCAATAAATCCCTCAGCGTGCGCTTTATTACTGTCAAATCGATTACATTCACCATCAACGCTGATGGGACCTCCACACAAAAAGTGGCGGTTTTTCCCTTTAGGGTTAACACGTTAATGTGATGCTCAAACATCCCAATGAAGTAACAAGTCCAATTTTTTTTAAAGGAGGTGAGCTTTAATGAAATACATGTTTAGTGTAATACACCATTGTCCATGTTAGCTGTAGTGTTTTGTTTTTTAAAGCTTCCGTCACCATGTGAGCGAGATCAGCTGAGAAAACAGTTTAAAATGACGAGTGGTTCAAATCGCTTTCACCCAAAGTTCAGAAACACAGACCGTCCCCAAAACACAACCACATAGCAACACACTGGCGTTGTTGAAATCATTATTGATGACCTGGATATAGACTGGCCCGACAGGCAGGCAACGGGGTTCCTGTAGAGTTTAATGAAAAGCATCACTCAGTGTAGGAAAGCTTTCCTCTCCAGGGCTGTGGCAGAGTGAGTGTTCAGATGTACAGTCACATGTGAGCTGTATGAAAACTGTAGGAGAGAAAAGTCCATTTGGAATATATTAACATCGCTGTAGCATGTGCGCAGCAAATGGAGTGACTCATTCAATTTCCTCCCAATTGATTTAATTCGCATGCGGTTTTGATTTGATTGAATAACATTTAATAATGTTGTTTGTAACTGTCAATACAGTAGTCATGCAGTAGTGCGAGGCACAACGGACATGGGTCACTGGTGCGTTATAGAGGTGAATACTGACTCAGAAAGACGATTTCTGTAATGAATACATGAAGTTCTTACACATTGACTTTTATTTTTCACTACCCCTGCTGCTGGTAAGACCCCGACAGCCTGAGACAAGATGTCCGCCTCATCGGCTAAAAGTTGTCTCCTGTCTGTGGTAAAGGAACCTGAGTCTGTATGAGTGTGTGTGTGTGTGTGTGTGTGTGTGTGTGTGTCTGTGTGTGTGAGTGTGTGTGTGTGTGTGTGTGTGTGTGTGTGTGTGTGTGTGTGTGTGTGTGTGTGTGTGTGAGTGTGTGTGTGTTGTGATGATTGGTCCCTCAGACTGTGATTTAGTGGTGAACAGGGATTTCAGGATTGAGGCCCCTGGAGCTCCGTTTAAACATTGTTAATCAACGTGAAAGTACATCCAATAAGCAGCGTATGCAGCGATCACAGGCCTTGTCTATTGTTTGTCCAAACAAACAGTGGGCTGCCTGATTTCATATTAGCATTCCACTGTCAACATTCATCCTCGCAAACTCATTTTGCTCCGAGTAATTTCCAGCATCCCAGGTGTTACACAATGCTGTGGCCCTCTCGCCATCTCTCAGCCCCCCCCCTCCCCCTCTCTTTTTCTGTGCACCTCACAGACAGAAAACAGATCCACAGAAACAGGACCGAGCAGATTACGAAGAGCGTAGAAGCAACGCAGCCTCCCTCCATTTGACCCTTGTTCTGACCATGGAATGAACTTTGCAGAATCCAAATCCAAATGTCAACAAAAGATTATCCCCACAGAGACCCGTAACACTGTTTTCCCTCTCGAACCGATTGACACAGCTCTTGATGCGTGGACTGACGGACATGTGACGGCAAAGCACGAGTTTGAAGGGATTTGTTGTGGCTTTTGGCTCCACTGGGTGACACTTAAATGCTCAAAACCATTGAAATTAAACTCCACAATCTTTGAGGTTGCCGTAAGCTCGAATGGAATGAAGCTAATCACTAATATGATGAAACAAGAAAAATGGAGTAGTGATTTGCTGACCATTTGTACCTGCATGACACAAAATGTAATATTGAGAACACCTCTTTATCATCTAGAGTGTGAATACATACAGTATATTACTGAAGAGGAGCGTCACAGCAATTGTATTTGAAAGTGTCATGGTTTGTTTGTTACTTGATTTGCTTCTAGGAGTGTGCACGCAATGGTGCGTCACATTTGGCTTCCCCGTTGGCACAAGTTCAGTTGAGTAGTTCTTTGAGCTCAACTGTGTCAATGCTTTTCAGCCCGTTCTGTGTGTCAGAATGTTACTGCTGTGTAACCCCTGGATCATTCATGAGATCTACACTGACACCTGAGATGCTTCCCAGTCAATAAGTCGTGCATTTCTACACTTTGTAGTAGTTATATTTTGTCAAATGATTTTCTGCATTTCAAGTCAAGTGACTAATTGTTGTTCTGGATTTCAATTTCATGGCCTTATGAGATCAAAGCAGATCTGCTCCTTTGTCCCCAAAAAGCCTTCCATCTGTTCAAATGTGGTATTAAACACTTTAAGGTCAGTGTGTGATTGTTTAGTCCAGCATTAGTGAAAATGAATAGATTCAAAGAGTTGAAACCGCACTAATGTTTTTGCATGATGGAATACACGCGCTAGTGTGTGTTTGTGTATGTGTACATGGATATCTGCACAGTAAGGGTCAGAACATGCGTCCTGTTTAACCTAACAGGACCTCTTGAGCTGGTCATGTCCATTAACAATGATCTGCTGTCATGGATTACACTCTGGCTCCACAAATCCTGACAACACCGTTCCTGCTTTGCAACAGCAGTTTGCCAGACAATGAACTCTTCCCCCTGCGCTCAGTTCGGGGTATTCTGTGGCTGAGGTCGTCACCTTTGTTGACCCCCCCCCCCCACCCGCTGGAAGAAATGAAGAAAATTCCACCATATTTAGTCAGTTAGTCTTCTCACAAGAGTACAACCGCCTATTTTTTAACTTATTTCCACTAATTAGAATTGTCAGCTGGGCTATGTGTTAATTACGTTTTGAGTTGTCTTTCCGATATCGACCGTCCCATCAATTATGAATGTCCATTAGAATCAGACTTGTCATGTCACAGCTCTGCACGTCTCCTGAAGTCCCACGGTGATGCTAATGTAGACATTTTAATCAATGAAAGATACACTATTGCAGCTGGCAGATGGCTTTCAGTAAGTCATATTTGGCTCTGTGGTCATTGTTCTGAAATGTGTATTAAACCACACACGCACACACACACACACTCGATCCAAGTAGCTTGGATAGTGTTCGATAGTGGATTTGCATTGATGCTAAAGCTCCCTGTAGCTTTAATGGGGGGGCGATTGTGGCTCTGGGTTAAGAGGGTTGTCTGACAACTGGAACGTCAAAGGTTCAATCCTCAATTGGGACGTGTCGAAGTGTACCTGAGCAATACACTGAACCCCTAATGGCTCCCCTGGCGCCTGTCATTGGCAGCCCACTGCTCCCTATATACAGGGATGGGTCAAATGCAGAGACAAATTTCCCCCTTAAAGGGATCAATATAGTATTTTAAATTAAATTTAAAAAAAAATTAATGGTAGCCACTGAGTAATAGGACCGTAGGACCTCTTCAGATCCCCAGCTCCACCTGTCAAAACAAATAAAGCATCACCCCTGAAGGATACAACGCCATGATTTTTGGATAATTTATCTCTCGCCATGTGACTTTAGACCGGTCTTGAATATTTAGATTTTACAGATACAATATGTGTGATTAGTCAAATTGAGGAAAACTTTCCTCAATTTTTATTCACCCAGGCGTTGCATTTTCTTAATGTATAGTCGGTAAAATTGCAATGCTGGATATGCTCAGAACTGAATTTAATGTAAGATCAAGTTTACCTTTGACTTGTAATTTTGAGAAAATGACCATTCAGTTGACTATTTCCTAATGCAGCCCTTCTAGATATTATTGTCAGTAGTATTATTATAAGTATTAGTTACTCTTATTGTTTCTGTTTGCTCTATTCCAAAGAGATACTATAGCAGCCACTTTTTAATATTATTTGCCATTGTTATGCAATTTAATATTTAATAATTTTGTTGGGCTGTTAGGCAACTCAAACAGCAAAAGAAGAAATTTATGCGAACCATCCACCATCACCACCCCCGCCCTCAAGGGCCTCTCTATACTTGTATGTGTGATCATATGTGGCACAACACCACCACGGGGATTCTCCTCTACTATGTCATAGTAGAAGACAAAAAAAATGTATCTCAGTGAGAAGCTTGCATGATTTACTCCACATAAATACACAATAAGCAACGTGTGCTCCAGTGGTGTACTGGGCAGATGGCGGTGTATGACTTTGTACACTAGGGCGCAGCACAGTAGACTGCCACACAAACTACATGCTGTGCATAAATTCTGACTGTCCGTTTTTGTTTTTGTCAGTGACAAGACATGACATAAGACAGTGGCATACTTTATTTGGGTAAAGTTTTACAAGCAACCATAAAAACAAAAATGAACATTTAAAATACAAGATACAAATAATTCCTTTACAAACTTAAAATACCCAATCAATTGTGATGGTTTCTCATTTGGAACAGATCACGTAGGGTTTTTTTTCTCCTCTAAATGCACCTGATTTTACATGTCAGGCATTCTTTATTACAACACCACACATATTCATATATACATGGTGAAGGGAATCCTGCCATGGCGGGACACAAGCTTTTTCTAGGATACCAGAGATTTTAGGAATATCAAGCCCACAAGACGCCTCCCT